TAACCAGTCCACCGTTTGTGACTTTATTGGTTGAGTGGGATCGGAAGAACCTCCACAATCTAAGCAATGAACTGGACCAGTTATTTTCTTGGTAAAAAGAACAACCAACGCATAATAGGTATCGGAGGAATTACATTTTAAACTGCGACAGACGACGAGACACAGAGCTTCGATGTCAGTCGTGAATGACCGTCAAGCGGAATAAGTCCGCCGAACCAAAAATCTTTCCAGATCAAGTGAACGTAGAGCACGAAGCGTAGAAAATAAATGGAAAAATAACCTGCAGTTCTCTCTTGTTAAAGATTCACGAAGTTGTCCTACCTATCGATACGTAAGAGAAAGAGCTGGTTTTGCTCTGGTTAGTGGTTCTGGTCTACGAGTACTTTGCTTTGCCGAAAAAGGTTAATCTGACAGGGGACCAAAAACCAAAGCAGCTAAAGTCAATAAATAAAATCCTCGTGTTTTCTCTGCAACCGACCTTGCCGTATTTTGTAATAGTCGTGTACAAAATTTGCTATTCGTTGTATGGTTACAATCAAGCGCTGACAGACTAAATAATTTTCAAGAAATTTTAATTTTTAACACTATGCTTTTGCTATTGCATATCAAATATCTAGATTAACAGAGCATTTCGTTCTGTACTACGTTGGCACAAATACATAACACACATAAAATAGGGTCTATGTTCATATCAAATTATACGCTAAACTAAGCGTTATGTAATATCTGTAATTTATTAGCTATGATTTCCTCGAAACCACAAACCGACATAAAGTAATGTGGTTCAAAAATATGAAAGCGTTGACGGCTGAAGAAAGTCCGATGGGAAAGGGCCATCCAGACGAAGCATTCGGATGGACACCTATAAATAAATGCGGAGCTACATATTTATTCGTTTCTTTCTTTACAAAATAAGCTGGATTAAATAGCTTTTGATTTTCTTTAGCGACGGACATATGCAAGTATTTTGACGACGATTGTGTTGATACACTTCGAAGGGTCAGTATAAAATGAATTCAAGAAAAATTATTGAACATAAGCCATATCATTTTTAAAATATTTCAAAATTAACATCTGAATTACACTAAAGTTCCTCACAATCTGATTTATGTACATCATCTTTTAAAATATACATAAAATCTGAGACGCATAAATAATGTGATCTTTGTAAGATTGTAAATTTTAATTATTTTTCTGTCTTTGTTAGAATTAGTATTTACACCACAGGCACAGGTACCGAATGTAGAGACCTCAAAATGCAAAAAGCAAAAGTTCACCATAGGGTATGAAAATTACAAAAAGTTATTTATCAACATTTGGATGCAATGCAATCGAATATTTGATTGCAAATGAAAAACCAGTATCCGGCAACTACAGTAAAAACAGGTCCAGCTCGGTTTATTTCGTTGTTGCAGAGCATCTGCAAAAACAGCAGGAATGGGAAGAAGCATTTTAACTACGGCAGAAAAAAAGTTAATCCTAAGTTGCAGGGCATTTCAACTCACTCTTCATTTCAACAAGGCAAAGCAATAAATGATAAAAAATAGACTGGATTTCAAACCGGTGCTGGTTGAGAGAGTCAGCAAAGCGCAATAAACTTTTATCAGTAGACTAGTAAAATCATGAAATAAAAATTAGCTGCAAAATCATGCAAGAAAAGCCTGCAGTGGATGTGAAAGATTCGTCGGATTTGAAGATTTGAAATTCAAATTTATGGATTTTTTTTCTTCGTCCATAATAACTACAAGACTGCTTTGCTATGAGCTATAACATTTTTTAACTATGGTGGGCGTGGTTTGAAAAGAACATTTGCAGCACGTTTTGTCATACATGAGGAGGAACGAAACGACAACATGAATTTAAATCAGATCATAATATTAAAGCACAATAATCTTAATTTAAATCACTGGGCATATGCAGCAATAAAAAATTTGATTGCGCGTCTTAATTCGTTCTCGATCACATTTCGAATCTTTTCAACTACAAAGAGTTCAACGTATACATAATCTAAAGCTGTTTTTGTGTGTGAGTGCAGATACGTAGAATACGACACAAATCCAACTTTGTGTTCAAATGGAATGTCATGTTACGACAATGATTTTAAATTTCTTGGAATTGTCATCCATCATTTACCTCCATTCAGAATGAGAATCTCAAGCGGTATGCGAATCAAATGACAAGCTCACGTAATAAAGATGGACGTGTGGAATCCGAGTATATACTTTATACGTACAATACATATATAAATATTTTTGTTAAAGTCTACTTTAAACGTGGCCTCTTATTTAGCCGACTAGTGAGCTAGTTAATGTATAACCACAAAAATTGGTACCTATTTTCTTGTAATACTAATTAAGAGCAAATTCATTATAAGGATTTTTTCTAATTATTATTTTCGTGTCATGTTTTTTAACTGGTTTACTGCATTCATCGTCTTTGGAGAAATTTATATATATCAAAGAACAACCTACACATATGTATCGCTATATGTCGGACTTGTTAATAACATCAGAATTTCCACCAGCAGCAGCAGGTTTGTTTTAGAATAGATCTTGCAAGGCTTGACTTAAAGCACTCTGCACAAGTCTACCAATTTGTGAGTATAATTATTGCCAATCACGCTGAAGAAAGAAAGCCAGAACAAGACAGTTAATCTTCTTCCTCAATACACTTCACTTATCATCCGTCTGGCTCGAAGGAGCAACTTATGTCTATGTGTCCAATAAATAATAATTGCATCTTTGTAGCACCGTCCGTGCAAATGGTGAATAGTTTAATGTTGAATTGCGTACTTTACCGTTCACCTGCAGAGAGTAGAACTAGCTAGCCATATCGTACATGCGCAAAAAAATGCAGGTCATTGTCATCTTCATTCAATCCTTAAGAATGCATGCCATGAGTATATGGATGAATGTATGTACTTTATCAGACTACTACTTTGGACAGCCAGGCCAGCGGCGGTAGCACATTTAAGGCTAATATTGTCGAGTATTTGGATACTGGCTTGGCATGTTCATTTGTCTGATTCTGATCTGAGAATTATTAAGGCTTAATGCTACACTAGCTGTGATATGTCCCGTTTTTTGAGTTCACACAGCGATATTGCACATACACGTAGCATCCTTGTATACATGTAACTATTACGCGTGTCCTCTTGTTAATGATATCCCCAAATTGAATATTTACCAATCTCACAATGGTGGATTAAACAATATATAGCGGATGCAAACTTATGATTAAATGCTTAGCAAAATATGTATAAAATTCCAATGTCAAACGAGTCATAAACATAAACGATATTACACATCTTAAAATCCATAAATATCAGGGGTGGGCAAGATACTTTGGTCGTAAGATACAAGATACAAGATAAGATACTCTCTAAGACAAGATATAAGATACAAGATAAAAGATACATCTTGTTTAAGTACACAAGATACAAGATACAAGATACTTTTCTAAAAATTGAGTAGTCAAGATACAAGATACAAGATATGTATCTTAAGATACTTTTATACTAGATAAGATACTTTCTTTTTTAGCTTGGTATTCATGCCCAATTAGTCATGTTTAATCATTTAACCGAAAAAATCTAGTGAGTACAAAATTTAAAATCATTCTAGAATCATTTTACAAATTTTGTTGCCAGTGCTTATACATCGAAAAAGGTCTAAATTTCGAAAAACTAGAACTCTACCTAACATACGTATATTCTTAAGAAGCTGGTATTATTTTTACAATATTCCCTGCTTATTCAAACTAAACCCTATAAGATCTATACATTCGTTCAGCGTAGATGTAATGTGCAACGTATGTATCAGTATGTATGTACGAGTACACATGTACATATATATATATATATGTGCATATATGTACAAGTTTGTTACGAATTGGCAAAACATAAACTAAAAATTCACCAAATTCTGGTTACGACAAATTCATGGTCAAATTGACTGACTTTAGTAAGAAATTGACGTAATTTGACGGAATTTTGAGAAAAAGTATCTTGTATCTTGTCAAAAGTATCTTAAGATACTTTTCTGCCATGCATATCTAGATAAGATACTTACACAAGATACTTTCAACTTTCTAAAAGATAGAAGATAGAAGATACAAGATACAAGATACTTCTCTGTTCAGGCGACGAAGATACAAGATAAAGATACTATCTTGTATCTTGTATCTTTTATCTTGTATCTTGACCAAGTATCTTGCCCACCCCTGATAAATATGCACATTTACATGCGGACTAGTAATAATTCTACGTTATCCCAAATGGAATGCAGAATGTCAATTATCTAAAGACCCAGACACATTGGCAACGATATGGTCCACTTACACATGCATTCTTTCTTAATGGACCAAGTTATTGACATTGGTCTTAATTTTAAATTCAGGTTTGTTTAAATAACTCTACAAAGAATTTTGCACCAATAAAGACAACGTTTGGATTGTAACAAGTATAATTTAACAGTTCCATCCAGCAACAGAAAAAAAATTATCCATGTCATTTTAGTGGAGCAGCAAAAATGTAATTCATCCCGTCAAGATTAAAATATACCTAAATTTCAGGTTTTTAAGCGCACAGGAAGGTTTAATACCTAATTGAAATGGGATATTTTACGAGTATGTAATTTTTACACGAAACCCCGTTTTTAACTTCCTGGAATCAAGTATTCCTCTAACGGTTGTTAACAGCCAGCGAGTTTTACCCAAATGACATTTTATTTACAGATAAAACTTGCACTAAAACTGTATGTATGCATAAACTGAGGGATGCACGTTACAGCCATAGTTGAAGTAAATGCATGTGTCTCATCTCAACATGAGTGTAATGTATCGCCCAAGTCGGCAAATCCATTAGCCACTTAAACTAGTTTTAAGTTCCGATACGGAGTGAGAGATTTATTGTGTCGAGTTCAAGTTCAGAATTTAATCTTCTAAATATGCGGTTGGACGAGGCAACAAACAATCACTGCGAAATGAAATGGAATACCTACCAGTCTGCAAAGTTTATCCTCCCACTTCACTCCTCGTGTCGTGAATAAGAATGAAGCTGCAAAATGCACGCAAGTTATGAATTACAACACTTCACTCTCTCTCTTACACACACAAGACGCACTGGCAACAATTATTGATTCCAACACTGTAAACAGACAGGAGGATAGTAGAGCTCAAAAAATCAAAACGTCTCCATGCATAAGTGATGCATATAATAATGTGTAGCGATTATAATGGCTGAGATCCTAAATTCTTAAATCGGTTCAATCCTTTACTATGTCTTCGTATTTAATGTCAGTGTCGTGTAATTGTTCTCCTGGTTGGCTGGCGATGCAATAATTTACTGAAACAGGAACTTGTAGTTAGATATACATAGTAGATCCAGTTTTGCTTTCGTTTCTCACAGGTTCTTGATGATACGGTAATTGGCTGTGGGAGAAGTATTTCCTTTAGTTAGAAAACATGCGAGTTCCCAGTAATACAGTTGTGTGTAGTAGTACTGTTACATTTATTAGGTAAATGTGAGTACATAAGTGTAGCAACTGATCAATGGTTTAATGACATTAGGAGATTCAATTTCAATCTCGTTAATTTCTCATGTTATTTAGTGCGGAATTGCGGAGATATACATCACACACCACGTTAGTTACTCTATCATGCAATTACTGTGTTCCTAATTATATTTTAGGAGCAGTACATATAATCTCAATCAACTGTGGTTTAAAGGCGACCCTATAATTCCTGTAGCGTGATGGCATTTTCCGGTGATACACATGTCTGTGTGGTTGTGTCCATTTGTTCTTAATTTCATCCCATTCCCACGTATTGTGAAGAAGACACAAAGCAAATGTATTCCGGACTTGTCAGCGTTGTCACTAATTTAGCCCAATTTCCACAAAGAGCGAGTCCTGGTTTTTGTCTTTCTTTGCCAAGATTCTTTGTTCGGTGTGACACTGCCCAATCGAGTCCAATTCTTTTCACTTGCCACTCACTCGGACGGGTTTATGCAGCAATTTGCAACCCACACGGCCAGAGATTCTTTTGCGGTTTCTTTGTCCTCTCGTTTTTGTCCACCATTGGCTAACTGCTCAAAGTAATTGATAACTGTATCATGGTGCGAAATCTAATGTCCACTTTCACTCAATCACTTATTTGTCATTGTTCCACAATTGACGCGACACACCAACCACTGTATTATTATGCCATATACAACGCGTATATGTATGCCCGTCACCTGGCTAAAAAACGAGTCGACTTAACAAAATTTCATTCACCAGAGAAAAGTGAATGCTAAATTTTCAGCTTCATTCACACACTAGTTTCTCACAGCAGAGTATTTAGTTATCCACCTCGGAACGTGAGTAGATTGGATGGATTGAGAAAGTTGAGACCTCGATTTATTAGAACCTCTCGTGCACTATGACCAAGGATGAATCCGAGTTTCATCCAGATGCTGGGTTTTACATCACTTTCCCAGCATTTTGTCCAACTTCCACACTGCAAAGTTGCCGTGCGGGACTGCACAAGGAACTCGACTATCGAACTGTATGTGTGTCAGCAGGGTGAAGATTGGCTCCTTCTGTGGGAATGAAATATTAAAATTCACCGAAATGCGGGCACGAGGAGGAAGAGGAGGAAGTAGGAAGCAACTTTGACAAGTTGTGCTGCGAGAGATCCATAAGGGTGGCTTGGAACCAGGGAACTGAGCCTTTCATGATACAACACTCGGGTTTTAGCAAAACTGTTTCACGGCTCCAGCCAGTACGTTGTTCACTATTCGGTCGGATGGAGGGTTTTGGTGGCAGTACCACCACGAGCACAAACCATTCAGTATTCAGGTGGTATTATTCTGGTCGTCTTCTTCCCATGTCTTCTTCGTGCGAACCAACTCAAAGTCGTCCAGGCACCAAGCAACCCAAACGGTTTCCTATAAAGTAGGTTCTTGCTGTGTAGTAAAGCAGTCTCGCGTTTAACGACCCTTTCCTTCTTTTACTCATGGAGAGACCTTCCCCTCCAAAAATCCGAACCCAATTGTAATTTCCCTCCCGATATTTATATTTCCGGGTTTATTGTTCTGCCGGAAATTCCCTTTTTAATTTTTAATATGGCACAGCAGAACAATTGTAAAAGGTTCCGTAAGGAAAGTGGATGAAAAGGAGCACGAATGCTTCCCCAATTTTCATAAACTTTTTAATAATGATTGTTGTTTCCTTATTTTATCGGGACAATATTATATTCCGCTCAAATCCATGAGAGCTGCTGAACAAATTTGATGTTTGAAATATTCAGGATTTTAATATGGGTCCAGGAAATTCTTCCCAACTCAACAATAACGTGACCGCGACCAACGCTGCTGTCGAAAGGCAAGCCAGAGGCAACTCTCTCGCTCTCTCTCTCTCTTGCACCACACAGCACTGCTCCAAGAACTCTGCCAGACTGACTGAACCTGCAACATCAACACCAACATCCTCATCCCACAGGCAAATCTCTATCCTAGCCAAACCTCCATAATGTTGTTATTATTGCATTACATTAAACCTTTGCATCATCAGAACAAGTAGGAGGAAGGATGGACAGTTGCAATGAAATGATGTATGCATGCAACTTTACGACGAGGTTCGTTATAGTTTAGTGTTACTTTTTGATAGTAAAAAGAGAGGAACTAGTCTACGAATCTACAATCTGGGATTAGGATTAGCAGCTAGATAAATATCATAGTGTGCAGGATGATACATCCAACTTTTTATATAGGACAGCCTTATTCCTGCTCGGATTAGAGTTCAACAGCAACTATTCGATACAGAGAGGAGAAGATGCAGGCATGGGAATCAGGAGGAGGAATCCACAACAATGCAAGAGTTCTGTCTGTCTGCGGGAGAAGAGATTGAGAATAACAATGCCACATAGCTAAATGATGTCTAGAGAGAGCTGAAACACACAGAGCATCCCTAATGCACAGGTAAGAAGAGCAGATGAGACGACGAAAACGATGTGCACAAAACACGGGTTGATACCTCACTTGCTTGCTATGCAGCAACCCTTTGCTTCACTAAAGACCAGATATGTACATGTGTATATTCGAGTCGAAAGCTAATCCAAACTCGGCAAAGTTACAAAGCACTGAAGGGAAATAAGGGAAAGAGTCAACTAACAAAATGCCACTACTGCATTGCTTTACTTTGGCTGTATTAAAACTTTATTCCTTCCTCTCTTTCTGTGACGAGATCTCCGTGTGTAGTTATGCGGAGAATTATAATACAGCCAAGAGTTTAAAGAGATTCTCTGGTATATTCATTTTTTATTATTATTAACAAGTCTGATGCATGAAATTGCTTGGGTATACGCAAGGATAGTCAACATTGTATGTACGTAGGTGTGTGCATATGATCCACTGTTGCTTGAATTTGAATGCTATGCAAATATCTATTAAACAGTCATGCAGCTATCTCATTGATGAATAAAATGAGCACAGCACAGAATAGTGCATTCATGTTCCCAACCTCAATTTTTTGTTGATTTTTGTACTTACCACAGAGAGGGTGACGATCATGGGATGCAGTTGAAGTGCATTTTACCTAGCTTTTTTACCTCAGCTAAGCGTTGCACGATGCATCTTGTTAAATCGATGCTGCATGCATCCATAAGGTTTAATAATGAAAATTGCTTTGCAATTGATTTTTGTCACAACAGGTATGCAGCGAATAGGTGGCAATAATTGTGACATAAAATTGTACATTGAATATAAATAAGCATAAACCTATAGTTAGTTATTAAGTACGGACTTTGGAAAGAAAGTGGACAATTTTTTGGAATGTGCATCATATGTATTAGCGCAACCAATATGTATAAATATGCAGTAATTTCCTCTGTATATATCGCTAGAATTTTCAGTGAGCATGTAAAGAGACCGACGTAATAATTTAATTTTGTGAATGAGCATCTGAATTAAGTACTTAGAAATATGCGCGTAATAATACGAATTAGAGTTGAATTGGCATCTCAAGTTCAAGAACTCTCCCATTTTTCAGCCTATTGTATTGATACCGCATTGTTTAGAGTTGTTTGAATGGAATCAAGTTTTCTTTCAAGTCACTCGAATTTCTCCGAGTTGAGCAGACTTGTGGGTGGCTAAAGTTGTGACTGCCGGGGTAGGTAGATTATTGGTGGGAGTGCAGATGGATGGGCACAAGGAGAAGAAGAAGAACGGGAGGAATGCCTGCTTTCCGTGTGCATGGCAGGAGGGTGGAAGAGAAAGCAGCGGTTGAGTGGTGGTAGGCAGTGGTAGTGCCGGGCATTATCCTCGTTTGCGGGCGGCCTGAGCTACCCCATGGCAGTAAACCCGTTCATTCGGTCCTACTTCCATTCGGGTCTAGGAGAAAGGACTTTCGGAAGGGTCGGGTGTTTGCTCATGAAATTCGGAATTATAATAAAACGCAGACTCCGGAGCTTTCAACATTTTATGCTTCAACTGGAAAAACTATTCTGCTGCTGCTGCTTCTCCGTTCGTCAGCCAACGCACTCAGAGAAAAGAACTCCTAGCTGAATCCACATCATGCTCACAAAACTATAGCACACGTTGTGACTGGTGAAATGACTGCAGCAGCTATGCGGCTGCAACAGCCCAAGGTTCGAGATCCACTTTTACAGGTTTTCATTCATGAATTTACTTAAATGACCTTATCATATGCTTATCCTGCAGGATGTATGAACAAAATAATAAAACGTATCAGAAATAAGTAAAATATTTAGTTTCGCGATGATTCTTCTTTAATCATCCTATCTCAACAATAATAATTAATTCATATAAAAACGGGTATCAAATTCATTCATATCACAGGTCACTCATTAAATAAATTCACACAAGTAAACTACTGGCCTTCAGGCAACACAATTTCTCTCAACAATACAAAATTCCGTTCTAATTCCACAAAACCCCCTGATTTGACGAACCCAGCAGCAAATCCGTTACTAAACAAATTAACATTGGCTGCAGCCAAACTTTCCCCTTCTTTCTTATCGGTGGTGGTGACTGGTTCTCGTCTCTTGTTGATCATAATTTGGGGCATCTCCGTGTATTCGGCAAGGTGACGGAGGACGACATTCTTGGCCAAACCGAAATGCTATTTACAATAAACACATACAAATTATTCGCACGTCGGACTCTGCAGTGTGAAATGAAGTAAAGCATGACTCACAATCAAGTACCCTTCCACCCTCCTCATCAGGGCGTCCGACTCGGCCACCATTTCCCTCAACTTGTCACCGGTAGCGGTCCACAAATCGCCAACGTTGCAGGAAATGAAGCCGTTCTCGAATGCGCGGTACCCTTTGACCAACCTCTTGTTCACGGATGAACTGCAGTTCCGAGGATGATAAGGGTTGGACAACTTTTTCTTGCCGTTTTTGGCGTAGAGGCCAACATAATAAAGAAGGAGGAGGTCAGTATTTTTATTCAAGAGTTCCTTCTTCACCCTTTCCTCCACTGCCTGCAGGCTCATCGTCTCCATTCCTGGCCAATTAAACAATGAGATGAGATAGATGAGAAAGTTTTTGTTCTGGAGGAAGGACTCCTTGACGCACTGGGGATATTTGTATATAAGGGAGTTGAGTGAAAGAGTTGCCAAATAACGTTCAAAGTTTCTGCAGAAATATAAATTTAGTTAGTTATGGTCATTCTAAAAAAATAATTTGTATAATAACTCACATTCCTTGACGGCTGAATTTGGAATGTGGGTGGAGTTTGAGCCAGTCCGTCATTCCGTTCTTATTTAATCTGCAGATTCGTCGTGCTCTGTTAGAACTGTAATTACAAATATTGACTTATGGACTGTTTGTTATTATCATTATGGAGTATTAACTCACTGGTATACAGGTTTATTGTCCAGAAGAGCTCTCATTGACTTAAGTCGGTTTCTACAGAAAAAAGAAAACATGACGGCTAACATCTTGAGTGATTATGAAAATATTTAAATTACTTGTTCGATTGATACCAATTCTTTTGTTTCATCTTGATCCTATCTCTGTATAAACAAACCACAATTATTTAAGATTACCAATTTATAAAATAATGTCGTACAGGACTATGCTTCTTACTGATTGTTCTGTTTCCAGCTCTTGATCTGTATGGAATGTCTTTCCCTGTAATAACAAAGCCACAAATATGTATTTAATTTAGCAAAGTATAACATTTTTTCCTGCAGGACTACTCTACTTACTTATTTTTTTGTCTCCATCGTTTACGATTCTGCTGATCTCTTCCCCTGAACAAAATAAATACTTGTAGTTGTACATTCCACATATTACATTAAGAACGAGTAATGTCCTATAGGTTCTTACCTATTATTTTGTTGCCAGTTTTTCGAACCCATTCTGTGTTTCTCCCTGTGTCATAAAAATCTCAAATAGTATATTAAAAGCTAAGATGTCTGATGTATTGTAGACGATAATTTCCTGCAGGACTACGTTTCTTACTTATTATTCTTCTTCCATGTCCTTGCAACGTTTAGTTGATTGATCCTGTTAACAAACACCGAACACATATATCTGCGAATATTAAAATTTATCACAAAATACATACCTCCTTTGTTCAGCGGACATCTTTTCCCGTTTTGGGGTTGGCACGAAGGGGATGGCGACTTTCTTTTTGTTGTGGCGACTCTTTTGTGTACGAATCCTTGCTGCCTCCCTATCATCAAAAAATATAAATTCTGCAGAATTAAACTATCAAGAATAACCCACCGTACCTTTTTTGCTCAGCCGCGGTCATTGCAAGGGGAGGTCTAACCACTACTGGCTGCACAACTGCTACAGCAGGCGACCTGTTTCGAAATTGTAAAATTAGTGGATGACATGTTAATTATTAAGTAATGTTTATCCACCTTTTAACCCCCACGGTAAACAACAAATTCTCCTGATTCGGATTTATCGTGGCTACAGTCTGTATTTAATTAAAAAGGTGATGATTAAATAAATAAATAAATCATTTTGGCACACAGATCTTATTACTCACATCTTTTGATGAATTCTCGCCCTTATTCTTCTTTTTGTTGTTAAACATGGAGAATAAATTGTTCATTTTGAATTAATTTAAATCAGAATCTAATTATTTTATAAAATTCTGCAGAATGAGAAACAACAGTTTGTTGAGAGGATCCACAACACAAAGAGAGAACATAATCCACCCGCCCTGTCAAGTCTCAAAAAGAGTGTAAACCTGTCAGGGAATATTTTTTTTTCCCACTGCAGTCGAGTTGGATAAGAAGTTTTACAGGTTGCAACAAAAACTTGGTCCCTTCTTTCATTTGCCTTTCACTTATTCATACATATTTTACCTGGCTAGACCTTAGCGTTCCATACAGTAGACTGGTCGGAGTCATAATGCAGAAATTCGACTTGTTTCGACTAAATAGAGGCGTCGCATGAGCTAAGAAATCACAACATTTCTTTTCAACCGTCGTTGTGTTGTGGTATTAAAATAATTAATATGCTTGATTGGGTTTTACATAATTACAGTCATTTACAGGTTTATTTATAAATAATTTAAATTAATCGACAGCTTCATATAAGCACATCGGTGTATTTGTATATGAAAACAAGGTCTGAGGGGAAAATTGAACATCAAAAAGCGCAACTGCATACATAGTTACATTGGTTCGTATACATATACATAAGTATGGATACAGTTCCTACATGATATTTCCGGGAACTTTATGTGTACTACTTACATACGCCTTCCTTCTAATGAATAAATAGCAGCTGCCGTTTTATAGATCGAAATGAAGACTTGCGTCACAAAATTCCAACTTTTTGTGAATCCGGTGTCGTGGCTATTACCTGTTGTTACCTTTCTCTCTGGAATTGCTATGGTACACAGAGCACTCCAGAAGTTCTCTACTGGTAATTATGTGACCACATGGAACAATCATTACACAAGGAATTACCATTAACATAGCGTTTCATTAATAACCGTCACGCAATCTATATGCGCTAAAATTCACCCATTGGATATCATCATTAGATTGCAAAGTGCAGAGCAAACTCTTGTATTCCTATATATACCCACTTTTCTTGCGTGTGAATTAATTTACCCTTTCCCATTAGCACAGTGACGTATTGTATTTGGATAATGGAAGAAAAGGCTGCTTTCTTTGTAATGTGTGTGGATTTTTGGATCGATGGCAATTTTGGTATACCCTCTGCCATGCATCCAGGGGGAGAGAGCTGGATGGATAGTGCATCATCGACCGTCAGTCCATAAAATACGGGTATCATAAAACCCTTTGAATGAATGAGTCAGACGGAGACGACAACCAGAGTCGAACCCTTTGCGACTTTGGATCCTTCCGTTCCTTCTCCATTCTTACCAGTTTGCTGTTACCACGACCTGCACTTTCCAGAGTCTTCCTCCGTAGAGGCCAAGCGAACATAAGCAAATGGAAGTTCATTATTCCGCGTGGGGAATGCGTCGGTAATGGAAAAGTATTATGAGTTGGTAAGATGACGTCCAGCCCGGTCCAAATCTTCCATGAAACTTGAACCTTTATTTGTGTACCCACAAGCGTCGTCGTCGTCAGCCAGAACTTTGAGTATTTTATTATGTAACTCGCGGCCTTTGCCACGGTAAATTCAGACCCAGGAAAAAATGAGGGAAAAGAAGGTGTCTGCCTTGTAATTTCTAATAGCCTGAGCTGGAAATGTCGAAAGTGAGATAAGTCTCGTCCCTCCTTTATGTTTGTTACGTTCCGTGACTATCGTTTCGTTGAACTGTTTTTACTTCCTCCAGTCATTATATAATAACAACTCATTACAAAATGGGCAATTTTCTTGAGTCGTCCTACGGCGATGAACGGATGAACATTACTGTTTCCTTTAACCACTGCCAGCAACAAGGAAAATTGTGCAATCGCTGTTGTGTATCACAACAACAGCAACAACGCGAGGTGAATAAAATGAAAAGAATTTAACACAACAACAACGTGGTAATGGACAGGTTTCACGGTCAGTACTTGTTCCAGAGTCTACACACTTTTTGTTATGTGGTACTGTTAACTTTGCTTACAAAAAATATCAATAAAAAACTCTGAAAAGGAAACGATAAGCTGATGACATGCATAGAAAATTTGAAACCTTTCCAGCCCCCGAAATACGACACAAATGGGAACTATGCATAGAATTTGTATGAAATGTCACATAATAATATACATTTTCAGTCCATGCATACGCATCTTCCATTCCTCGGATATTCAGAAAATGTACACCTCGCCGTAAAACCAGGTACCTGTTGTCTCCCTTTGTCACCTCTGGTTGAGGCCAAGGTTTACTTCACCACCACCAATTCTTTCTTACGATGTCGGTAGTTTAAATTTCAAACCATTCGAACTTTAGTTGCCTGTTAGGGCTAGACGAACCTCTTTAACCTGCAGCAACATCGGGTAGAGACGAGGAACGAATAAATGCAAGGCACAGGAATCGTGATGGGAGGAAAGGAATGCTACGCAATGGATTCATCGTTTTTCTCCTGGGCTCATCATGCAGCGTGATTATGATTACACAACATGAAGTGGAATCGTATAAGGTGTTTTGCTTATTGGCCTAAAGGCTGTGATGCGGCTGTTGGATGGTGATCAAGGACTGAATGCATAGGTTTACGAACACCCCTAAAATGCCATGAAAAATCGCCAGTGGGACTCAAGAGTTGGATGTGAGGCTTCAAAGTTCAACAAAGATTCGAATTGGAAGTGGATGGAGAAATGAACTCTTCCTCATACTTGGCTTGGTACCTGCACTTGGTGGGTACCATCTCCACCACCACATCAACAACAATACCCGAGATGTATTGCACTACCTTCCGAAAAAACCTCTCCACATCACTGGATTTTCTTGCTGTGGGACTGTTCCGCAAAAAAACTAGACAAGAAGAAGCGAAGAATAAGCAAGGATGACATGCAGAACATGAAATGCAGTGGAAGGACTTTTTCTATAAGTTCAGTTTCATTTGTTTGGAACGGCCCACCAAATTATCTTCTCAAAAGTTGACTGAGCGGAAACAAGTCATGCAATTTCATATATAAAATGCTTTTAATGTTAAATTTTTTAAATCATCTTATCCAAAAATTCACAATTTGGTCAGTTGTTTAAATCTGATATTAACAGTTTCAGCCTTACTCAAACACAGAAGAACCTCCAAATCTTCAACGTCAAAACCTCAGCACCCCAAATTCTGACCTACCTAGCCCAGTAAGCAAAGCATTAAAAATTCCAAGTCCATTAACGTGATACTATAGGCCGATGGGAATGTGGCTACTTATCTTTTATCTATTTTTGACCTAAGCACTAAATTGTGAGCTTATCCCATCAAACTACATGGTACAAAAAACATGACGTATTTCTTATTCACCAGAATACATGAACATGATCTTGAAGTACACACCTTTATTTTTATTTGTATGCACCGTGTTTTTAGAAGTCAGCTAACAAGTCGATATCATCACCCAAATATTTTACCTATTCAGATGAGGATTATATGCATGCAAGGAACAATATAACTCTGCTCATCCCGACTTCCCGACTCACGATATCATGGCAGCAATAAATAAACCTACTTTGTAACGACCAAATAAATGATTACAAAAAAGTAGAGTACCAATCCCATTAACCATATTATGGTCCTATCCCTTGCCTTGTCTGCGTAACGGAAACAAGGAACCAAGCTTTATTTCATGTATATAATAAATATTCAAGAAATTGCATAATATTGATCACTACATTTTCAACCATGAGCATAGAGCCATATTTTATCGGAATCTCTTATTTGGCTATTTATTATTAATTCTGTGCGTTTAGGTGACACAGAAATTAATCTCAAAATTTGGTCACTTCTTTTTTATCGACATCTGCTCTTACTCTTTACTTATTTGTGCATTAAGATATTCGTTTGAGAGTCATTTACAGATAAAAGGTCCAACTTGGGAATCAATGGTGAGAAAGAAACTGGGCTAAACTGGTTGAACAAGCTGGAATAAAACCCAAAAGGAAATATTTCCCATAACAAAACTTATCCTAACTTCAATCTATCTACGATATACATCAAACTATCTAGTCCAAGAATACAATTAAGAAATATACGCCGTATATGAAGACAAAGGAAAATGTGAAAAAACCGTTGTATGTTCTTATGTATATCTATCACAAGGTGCCATAATGCAAGCATCTGCATCTGCATCTGCAGGAGGCATCAACATACACATATTATGTATTGTACCTACTATGTATCATATGTACATTACATGCAATCAGGGTTACAAGTGATATATATCACTGAGTGAGATTTAGTGAGATTTAATGATATATATCAATCATCTCACTTGGGGCTGAGTGAGAAATATGAGAAATAATGAGATAAACTTGTAGTTCATGACCACGTCCGCTAGGTGGCGCTAGTGCATGGCTCATAAATCTCACTAAATCTCATATTTCTCATGTCTCACTATTTCTCATTATATCTCAGTGAGATGAGATTTACGAGGGTGAGATGAGATTTCTGCAACCCTGCATGCAATTGCATCTTCCAAAGCGTGTGAAACAAGATGAGTGCAACTACACCTTAACTGTGAACTCTTTATATTAGTAAACATACCAAATATGTAAACGTAAGTGGATATGTTTACATATGCAAATATTTGCTTAAATTGTACAATTACTTACAAGCATTAGTCAAATCTAATTTTGTCTAGAACAGGAACAGACAGGAACAAAATTTTGACGTGTAACCATTACTTTCCGATAACTTTTAACATCTTCATACCGCTGAGCCATGCACACCATGTCGCCCTTCCCAAGCGAGAAGTGAGTGAAAGAGACGGGTCGGTAGTTCACAACAAGATTCTTATCATTGTCACATAAAAGCATCAACGAAGCTGAACCCATTTCGTGTAATAAGGTTGAGGAGAGTTGATTGTAGTGGGAGTTTGTTTACTGTCTAGAAAAGCAGATTGATGATCGAATGTGAGCAAATGGGCTTCTGGAACTGGGTCTTATTATTGGTGGTGTCTATCTCGTGTAAAAAGCTAACGAGACAGTTGTCACAGAGAATGTCTAATCTCTTATAGAATCTGAGATGCTCAGATTCCAGCAGAGCCAAGTTTCTTGCTGGTTTGGTGGTGGAACTGAGTTGATCAATATTTCAATCGGAGGTATTGGTGGTCACTGACCACAATCAATATGCCGGGTATCTTCAGCTTGCAACAGCAACATAGCACGGTCTGGGTGGTTTGGTTTGCTCGAGCAAGAACAAAGGCCTTTGGTTGTTAGTAAATCACGTTGGAAGAGACAGATTTAATGATCTTGTCCTCTGGCTGGCGGCTTCAAGACTGCTATTTTTTGTCCCGAAAATCCATACCATTAAATGTATTTGTATTTTATATTTCACAAAATGCTTATGCCAGAATTCCAGTCGAATTCCAATCGAATAACATATTGGGTGAATTCACTGAACCAAACTTCGTCGCATATATTCGCGAGAAATATTTCGCAAAAAAGTGCATATCGTTTGTCTCGCTCATTGGTTTGGTTTTGGCCTTATCAGCAGAAGCTGCTTATTTAAAATTATAATAGAACCCATTTTTAAATTTTTTGGCATTGTAATTTTTTTACATTTTCAGGCATGTCCACTGGCAAGGGATGGTTCCCGACATTTTGTCATGTCTCTATGTTTTTTAATCTACCAGTTCCTTAGATGAAGGATCCATGCATAATTTCCATGCAAAAACTCACGTTAATTTTTTCCATTCTGATATTTCAATTAAATATAACAAAAGTTGGACACGTAATACTATTCGAACATTGCCAACAAACATACATGCAATTAGCTCGCACACTTGGTCACCACTTTAAACAATTCTGGAGGATGAGCATTATCAGTTCATATCCGTTGAAAATATTGTGTTTCAACTTTGTCCAGGAACTTTATTGATAACTTCACTTGTGAAACAATCAACACTTCCTTTCACTCATTCATCTCTGGTGAAATAGCCAGGGTGTGGCACTGCACAAACCAGCAACATTAGAATTACAGAATTACATCCGATTTAAGTCATTATTTAGCTGAATGCTTTGGTCATGTGCTTACTGTAGCGTAATATCGACATGTGTTCATATATACGTACATATGCATGTATATAAATATGTACATTAGATTAGTGACCAAGCCACGCATTACATGTGCGAGCTATACAGAGAAGACCGACAAACTAAATTTTTATGGAGTTTCAACTAAAATGAATATAATCGTGAAATTGCTCAATGAAAACTTTTAGCCCAATTTGGTTTTGAGGTTTTCTGGCCTTGTTGTGAACACTGACCAGTTTGTTTATTTATACTCGGACATCACCCAAAAAATTAATTAGATTAACTAATAATGAAATTATTTCAAAGCGCATGTACATATTTGAATGTGTGGGTATTTAACTTGAATAATTTGTATTTTAGTTTTGACGAGCTAGTTCTGAATATCATTTACAAAACTCACCACAGAAATTAAAACCTTCCCCTTTGAATTCCAGGTTCAGCTTATCTTTTGTCACCAGTTCGTAGCTGTCATAGACGTAATTCAACCCAGACAAGCTATGGTAGATCCACATAGGAAGCTGATCTGTGATATGGGGGAAGAGGACAAAGGGGAAGATGATCATTTATCTTATGATCTTGATGACTTTTCTTGGAGAAGAAAAATATGACGATGACAATTTCTTGCTTTGTAATACTTTCTACATATCATTCACTGTATATATCATTACGTATAATATTATTCACTTACTTTGTATTATGCAACATTGCTATCATCAACCAAACACGCCAACGGAGCCGCATCAGCTTCTGCTTTCTAGTTGAATGAGATTCTTACGAATTTCAATTTCATTTTACTCTATGTTTTCCAACTTTTGTCCTAAACCGACTGAGAAGCAATTTAGAAAATTGGATGTTTCGTGAAAAGAACCAAACAATATTTTATTTCCAACAAGGTTTACATTCATAAAAGTGCCTGCATAAGTGTATGCGCATTGTGCATCAAAATAGATATGATAACTGCAAACTACTTGAAAATGTTATACATTAATTGCACAAATACAGTCCCCTTAATCATTGTTTTTCATCCACCGATATCACGAAATTACATTTGCATATGGTATATGGTTGCAAATCAATTTTCCATGCATTTACAGTCAAAGTTACAAATCTCTTTTACGCTAAATTTACTACGTAATGTTCACTTAGTGAGCAGCTATTTTTGGTGTGTTACTACTACAGACTATCTACATACGTATATGTACAGGTGAATTTATGGGAGAATAGATTCTCACTGACTGGGCAAATTCTACTAGGATCCATTTTCATTTTTGCATTCTGCCATGTCGCTTCGTTCTCTCAGACGGAATCCTTGAAGACGGAATCCTTGAAGGAATCCTTCTATGAATTACGACCGCAGTCATCTCCTCCATTTGTTCCTCGTCGCTTCTTTTCATTACGAGGCGCAAAAGGTATAAAATTGCTCCAATGTGAAAAATTACGTTTGCAGATAGAATTATCCAGAATCCATGACCTGTTGTGGCAGAATTAGCTCTTTTTGGTTGCTCATGCACGCTGGCTCCTTGTGGACGAGATTTGATAAATTGATAAATAATTAATCCAAGACATATTAGCAAGACAGCCTGAGTTATGGACTGTCCAATTGCAAACCAAGAGACGAGAAATTTCGAATCCTGCATGAATAGACACAATTTTACCAGAAATGCTTCGAAATAAAAATCACCAAAGTACACTTATGCACTTGTGAGCAAGGGTTAGAATTTCTGTTGTCATTACCTTCTCTTTCCAGTACCAAAATCCAACAGAGATAATTAATTGCAGTACAACTGCAATAATTCCAACGCTGATAATTACCACAGAAAGTTTGGTATTTCCAGTTTCCCCTGAAAAATCGGCTTGTTCTTCATGTTTTCCTTCAACTGAAGCGGTTTGATTTATTTCGTCAAGAAATGCCCACGATATTCCCACCACGGCGAGACCACCAATCTTGCACATAAAGAGCAATTAATTCACAAACGTGAAGGATAAAAAACCCATTACATTAATTGCAATATAATAATATCCTACCAAAGATGTCACTGAGATAAATCTATTTGGTAGTTTCTTACTGGGCTGTAGCGTCTGTGGTGGGAGAGCACTGCCAGAAGTGGGAGAAGGAAACTTGGACATATTTATGTATTTTACCATTTTTAGCACTATTTTCCAGCCTAACTGGCAACTTCTACTATGATTTTTCTTATTGATTTTATGACTGCTACATTAGTCTGACACTCAACCTACAAATTTGAAATAAAGTTCACTCTGCAGAATAAAGTTACATAAATGTGACAAGGTTCATTTTGTGGATACTTGACTGAAATTGACAGCATCTGTACCAATACAAATGCGCCCGCATATCCATAATCTGTACGTCGGGGCTTGCGCCTGTGGTTACTGACTGTTTTTATAGATGTTGTTTAGTAAAATAAAATTATTTACTGACTCAACGAAACGTATCTGCCATGTCTCCTCTTGCGTTGGAGCGATATGAATATTTCCCCGAAATAATTTGTGTAGTAGCAATGAAAGCATTAGCTATATTGAGTTAGATTGATTGTCCTTGTTGGGCAATATTTATGTGTGTGCTAAGCAAAGATATATTTACTGTACATGTGTACATGCATTCGTACATATACGTATTTACATCAGGTAACTGCTATCAATACGTACAAAATGTCTCCGCCCTGCCGCTTTTGTCATTTCGCCAAGTAGAGTTTACCCCGTTTACCCGGACCTTGCGGTCTTACTCGAGCATTAATTACACAAGCCACACACCGCAGTAATTTACACAACATGGGATACAATATACAGAATAGGACAAAATTACATTCAATACCAAATTTAAGCAGCCGCATATTAAGCATCCAAATTTCAAAAGGCTAGCTTTCTATAGAATTAATTGCAATTAACCAACCCTATATTTGAGTTAATATAATCCTAATAGTATGTATTTGCCAAACCGCCCAGTGCGTAATTATCAACATCCGTGTAAATGTAGCTATTCTTCTCATACATTAATGTTTTTGAAGTATGTAAGTATGGCTTTTGTATTATAAATGCGTTGTGGGAGAGGTCCTACATACTTTCTACGTACATCAAGAAATCGGGTTAACAGCACAAAACCATTGAGGGAACAGCAGCACAAAAATGAGAGTGTAATGGCACCCATGGGAAAGTTCATGGCATGGTAATAGCACAAACAATGTCACTCCAGATACAAAAAGAGACCATTTTGCAATAAAAGTATCGCATGGAGCGGTTTCATGCTGCAAAATGAATAAAATATATTTGAGAATAATGTAAATTACCGCGTTGCATCCAGCACAAGGATAGAAAAAAACATTTAAAAGGAGAAATGACATTTAGGGAAATCTAAGGCATTGCATCATTATTACATGTACGTAGTCGTCTCTACATTCATGGGCTATCACCAGCAACTTTTATCATTTGTGGAAACTATCGTCCTATTCCAGCGCAATGTCAGGATGGATTTTTGTCTTGATATTGCTGCGAAGAAAACACCAACAGCACCGAAGCAGCACTGAATTGTTATCTTGCAGTTTCCTGAACCAAGAAGATTTTGAAGAAGAAATGAGATTAGAATCCTAGACCAGCACAAGCTCGAGATCGAGCTACGATGCACAGATCAGTGAGATTCCAGCTTCAAATTTTGCAGACTCGGCACCCAAGCCAAGAATTTATGAATTTCATTTTCATTGAGTGATTCATGAGCTGTTTATAAAATCGCGTTTTCTGCTCTATACTCTCTGAATGCGTAGCACTATCAGCCATTTCTTATCCCTCCATTTCATGTCCTCATGAATATGAACAATTTCTAGTGCATGGATGTTAACGAGCACCTAGTGCTGTTGCTGAAAGTTTACGAAACATTAGAAAACAAGGAGCACATACACACAGAAGAAATTTCATATCTATACACTCTCATAGCTCAACTGATGAACTTACTTTAAGGTCAAACGAACAACAAACTATATTCGCAGGCTCAAATCTTGGCAACGACTCCCATTGTTGCTGCATATACATAAATAGAGGATACATATATTGCGATACCGTGGTGAGAGAATTTCCGTAATAAATGATTTATAAAGCTCTTTCACAATAGAATAACACTTAAAATTCACGCTTATCTTTCTGTTTCCAAGTTTTCTGCTCTGCTTGATTTGAACTTGGAAGGCATTGTCCATCCAGACACGTCATTTTACTTTTTTGTTTGCACAAGTTCTTCGTTTCTCTTTTTTTGTCCCTATTGCTTTCGTGATGCATTGCCTCATATTCAAAAATGCTTCTGGATGAGAAGGAAGCAGAAACCTGTGGCCGAGCAGCAGCGACGGATTCCCAACGGGTTTAACTCCAGTTATTACAACCCTTTATACTTTTGACTGTATTTTGCATTTGCCAACGGTTGTGCCATTGTCAAGTCCAGTCATAAATCAAGAGTATTACGCGTTAGATTACCTCTATAAAACGCAGAGAGACAACCCCGTGGTGTGTAGTGACTGCAGACATGAGAGAGGCTGCAAGATTTCAATTCCTTAACTTTATAGAATTCCCTGCTCAAAGTTTGGTTGGATTAAGGAATTTTCAAATCCGCCTATATAAAATCCTGACTCTGATGTGGAAGGCGTTCAGCAAAAGCTTACTCTGTATTCGAAACATGATAAAAGTTTAAATTGGATTCAAAGCACACCCAAAAACACCTCATTTAAAGTGGCGTCGTGCCGTGGTCGAACGAGGGAAACTGATTACGCTTGAAAGTATTTTAGTATTTTTTTTCATTTCCCATGCATGCGAAGCATGTTGTCAATGTCCAGTTGTGAACATTTCATCAAGTCAAGATAACTTTCGATAAGTCCAGTTTTTTTAAGAAAAAAACATGTCATGTAATGAAATTGGACGAATTTTTTAGTGCAACGTACAAAAGGGGATCTGGGTTGAAGAGTTCAACGAATGAAAAGTATTTTCTTTCATTTAAAAATTCTCCAAAGGCGACCAACCCCTCTGATTTATTTCTCGTCGGCCAGGCCAAGCCCTTCTGTGATGCAACTGTAACACAATACCAGCCAGCAGCAAGAATATCGTAACACAATGCACTCTCCCTTGTTCTCTCACACTCGCTTCTAACTCTGCGAACGATGATAACAAGACAAGGCAAACACGGGTACGGACTTTCACTTGGAATAGACGGACGATTTGTATGGTGGAGTAATTGATAAACAAATACGATTTTCCAAATGCAAGAGATGCTGAGATTGGCGACAATTATTAAAATTTCGCAATATTTGTATCTCCCACATATTTGCATAATGTGAACTGATTTCTCAGTAGGTTGTAAAGTATGAAATACAAAAAAATGCATCCTTGTACGCTTTCATTATCATCATATGGAGAAACACATCACAAATGGACCTTAATAATGCAAAAAATACATAAAATACAAGTGCACAAATTTTATAAATGCCCATGAAATGTAATTATGGGAAACTGCGAGTTGTATGTGTATGCGGTTCGGGTATTATTTTGTATGACGCCAGGGTTGGTAAGCATTTATGTCAGTATAAGCACACGTAACGTGAGTAGTTATTAAGGTTTAAAGCTAATGTAATTTCTTCAACAGGAAATGAGATTTTAAGTGTGGAGAAATGCAGGATATGTGCGGGCGAGTTAGGAATTTTTTTACGGTTTCAAGGTAAAATTATTTATAATAAAATCATGTCCTGAGAATTCACGAATTATCCTTTAAATAAAAATTATTTCTTCTAAACATTTGTCAGGGGTTCAAAATATAAAATAAATAAATATCAAAATCAAATTACACACTGCATAATTACAATTTTATTTTATTATTATATGGTTTTCGAACAATTCATCCAAAACAATCTTCCCATTCATTGATAAATTTAAGTGCTGAGAACTGCTCTAATTTTCAGATCCTCGCTGCAGCAGCCATCTCTCTGTAGGGGACGAAAGTGAGTACTGCTTCGTCCTCCGGTATCGGCATTGCTTTCTATTCTGACAAAAAATTCTCCAAATCACGATCACGATATACCGCATTTTATTAGTTTATCACTTAAAAATTACCAAGATTACTTATCTAGATTTCATCAAATATATGGAATCATGCCCATACGAAAATAACATGTACATGTACGTGTACAAATACATGTACACATCACACGAAGAGCTATGCAACTAAAAAAAGCACGCCACTCACCACCCAATGTGATCTTAATTTCTTAGGTCCGACTATGCAGAAGTTTAAAGGTGCATAGGAGCTCTGTATTTTTATGCGAAACGAAATGAGTATATTTGATATTATTTTATAAGTAATTAAAATACATTAAAGGATGTTAAAGTTATAATTTTGATGCCAAAAGTTATGCCAAGAGATTACTCCTGAGGGTTCTTTTATGATTTAAAAATTCATTTCCAGATACAACACAATTGAATTAACGATCTACATATGTATCATATGTATGTAAGCAATGATCCAGTATTAGTGCCTCTGGTGACGGTGACTTTATGATGAGTTGACACTAAGAAATATAAATTATACCTATCAGTTTATGAAGTAAAGCAAGCGATAAAAACCCGAATTGTATTTAATCAGGGCCATGAACCATGCACATAAATAGTCAATTCCATTTCTTCGGTTGATCATTTTTATTAGGTTACTATCACTGTATTTTATTACATTGGTTTGCATAATTGTGATACTTATCTCAAAGTACATAGTACTTACTCGCATATTTCTTGAACAAGAAATTAGTTTATATCCTTATTTTACTTACGATTTATTATAACTGGGTGTATTCTGTATTTATTGTAACAACGTTTTCACCAGGAAAGCCATCTTAATGTAAATTTAAATTAGTTAAATTTAAACACAAGATTAAGTATTTATTATTTTCCTATCGCACAAGACCTACAGAGCGTTATGGTGTACACTTACATCACCAGAAATACTCAAACGCTCACATAATCATTCAAATAATTCATGCTGAAACCCATAATATGCTGTATACATATTGCTTGAACCAGCCAATTTTACTATGACACACAGAGTAACTCTAATTTAAGTTGGTCAATACATATAAGTAATTACCAAATTCTTTGATCAGTCTCGGAACTTTCGTTACTCATTTATTCATATTTTTGCACTAGAATAGAATACAAATTTCGTAGATGTTTTTGGTAATTTACTTAACGCACCTACATATTTACTTACAGAAGACATGAATAAATTGGATTCAATATCACAGAATTGAAAAGTTTGATTTGGTGTATTATGAGTGTCCACAAATTCCTCGAGGATTTACAAGAAAATCAGTTACCAAAATATAAAATTATTGATACTTTATTTGGTGCAGCTCAATTTGCTATGAAAGCTGAATAGTTTGATGATGAAGAGGACCCCCAAAATAATTCATGTTCATATTATTGTTGCTGCCCATGAAATGATTATTATTGTTGTGGTTGTGATTATGATGATGGTTACTAATGGCTAGGTGTGGATTCAAACCTTGATTATAGTCATGCTGTTGCTGTTGATGGACAGGTGTAGAGTTACTATATGATGACACGTTGTTATTACTAATATTTTGGTGACCATGGGTCAGGTCTTGGTGATGATGTTGCTGAGATGACGACGATGTCGACGGCTTCTGTTCTTGATTTAAGACGCAGTTGGGTGTGTGCGACGTCAAGAGCGACGACAGCCTTTTGAACTCTTCTTCCATTAGGGCAATTTCTGATTTTAATGTTACATTGTCAGTCTCCAGAACTTCGGCCTCCTGAAATAATAGAAACAAAAGGTATGAACGGCATGCCGTATTTATTTCTTAAAATCAGCACAAGGAAATTGCTCCAACATCGAAAGGATATGTATGCCCATTTATAGAAATTAACCCATCATTTCGAAGCGCATTTGAACTCGTAATTAGAATAAATTCAAAAGAGACAATAACATCGTAAAATTGGGTGGATATGGACTAACACAAATTTACATTACTTTGAGTAGGAGTGTTATTTAGTTTGCAACAATGTGTACCTGAACTAATAGAACTGTCTTCTCCTTCTTTTTATTCCGACATTTCGTCGCAGCGACTTTGTTTCTTTCTCGGCGTCTTTTTCGTCTCTCTTCATCCTCTGGGGTTAGCTGCAATTATAAACAAATAAAATCGTCAATTTCACGATGGGCGAGATACCGTTAATTATCCAATCCAAGCAAATAAGCTTAAATATTATCACAGTCTATACGACAATTAATCACCAATTCTTGTGAGTTGAACATTATTGTATTCACCTCAACAATTATAAAGCAAAACCCAAATCACAGTATGCACGCGATAATAAGAATAATAATAATTAAGCACCACACCAGACCACCTACGGTTCCCCTAATTGGGAAGTATGAGAAATTATGAACTATTTTGATTTGTTAGGGCTTCGAAATTGAAAACTCATTTGAACTAGAAAATAGTATTCCAAATAAGGTCGTGCTGTCTAGAGCACCTACATGTGCAAGTTCATTTAGTTCATTAAGTACATCGTATAAAATATAGTTCGTTTTTTCCACTCCACAAAATGCGATTTTCTTAATTTGGTTTTTTCAGTTGAGACTGATTGTTTTGTTGCAATTTTAAAGGATAAAGTAATCACACTCCACGTCAACAATCAATCAAACAGAGAAAATACAAAAGGTGGGGAACCTTAGTTGGTGGGAGTGACTCGGCAAATGAGTCATTTGAAAAGTCATAGGTCAACTCTACCTCCTCTCTCTTGTGTCTTTTGGTAACAAGCTCTGATTTCACGTCCAACTCTTCCTTCCCACTATTCTTTCGTTTGGTCTGGATCGTTAATTTCAGGCTGTCCTTGATTAGTTTGGATCTCATGGACTCCACTGAGCTGGATGGCTGCGGAACTTGGTAAAAATTTTGCTGCTTTGAAGGAGGGGGACTCTCTGAGGTAGACGTTGATGAGACGGAATGGGGGGAACCAGCCATGCAGTAATTGTTGCTGGGGGTGGCGGTGGTGATGGCATTGTTGATATTGGTCAGATTTTGATTATTCTGACTGCTACCGGAAACAGTTTGGACGCAACTTGACGTCGTACTTGTGACCGAAGTTTCCAAATTGGCAAATACTTTCTTCTCTTGAGGCTCATCAAAGTCCTGCTGACTCAAAGTCTCTGTGTCATCGGGAAGCGTTGCACTTTCAAAAAATGGGTTGGCTATGGCAATTATGGAGTTTAAAATGTCAGGTGTGCTGAGAGCTGAATCGGATACAAAAAATATGAATTATTAGAATACTATTAATTTAATTATGTAACTGATGCGGTTAAACATCTTACAAATTGGCGTCCCATTTCCAGCCGATGGTGGTAGCCCTGGGTTCGGAGTCTGCAGCAAGTCTTGGCCAGCCTGCCTCCGGGCTGCTTCAATATTTAGACGCTGCATTCCACTTGCACTGTAAATTAAATATATATTGCATAAATATATTTTTCGTATATACACATTTTTTTTACCAAGCCAAAGGCTATTATTTTAAAAATATATTTGTATATGGACGCTTACGCAGTACATTTGCCATACACTTGATTGTGCTAACAGTATAAGCATAAGTTTGTTCTCATATTTATGACAATTGACACCTAGAGCATTTAGAGATGCCTAGAGATGCCTCGCTTACATTAGTTCCAAATTTGTTTTAGTAAGTAACATAACTAGCACGCACATATACGTACGCTACGCATGTGCGACTGGCAAAAATATTAGTTTCTCAAAACTGATTTATTTTCAAACAGAAGGAGCACACACGCCAGGGAATGTGTAATATGTCACGAACACCAACCTTAGAACCCATCCCACTAGATTTTACTAGATAGCTAACGAGTGTTCATTTTGTCTTGAAGCACTAAATCACAGTTTAGCAGATTCTGTCCAGATTAGATTAAGGTCATTTAGAGAATTGAGAAATTACTGTATTCTGTCAAACGAACATTATTAAATCTCCTTGCTTCCTACATGTGGTGTAAATATATGGTATGCAATTTGCACATTAAAATCATTTGTCGTTGCCCATCCCTCGTTTAACCACTCACGTTACGCACGGACATACACCAAACATGAAAAATATCTTTAAAACTTTCCATATTGCTTAGTGTCACTTGACATGAGTACCATGTACATAAAAATTTTCAAACAAAACTAGAAAGCTAAAGTTAAAGATGTAACTACATAGTTGTTTGCTGGAGAATAATCAAATGTTCTTAACTGACTTAATGCATCTTAAATAATATGGATTCCGTTTGATAAAAATTCGTACCAGGTAAGATGCCGAGCGAGTTAGTCTATTGTGGAGAAGCACATACTGCGAATGATTAACTTTATGTAATAAACTAAAATGACATTAAACACCTCTATTACTTGAAGTTGTAGCACTATCAACTTGCTGCCAAGAGTCATTTTATATTTAAGAGCCATTAGACTCAGTTTTGATGGGTTTGCCTTGAAATTTTTATGTGGCTAAAACATGTCGCATACTTTTGATTAAATTTTCACTCATGTATAGAAAGACTATGGACACTTGACAACTAATTTATTTGGCAGCCAAGCATGGTCCGAGTACCCAATAAAGTTCAATTTTAATTTCAGTTGTACATAATCCTCGTAAACGGAATTGCTTATATAATGTCTGTACAAGGTTTGCAGCATATATTAAATTGTACATCTCATTTAAGTATTATGTATTTCAACCCATAGCATCAATACAATCCAAAATGAGTGAACCTTAAATTTATTGAAACATACAATTTATTTATATGTTTTAAAACTATTTATTTCGCAGTTTGCACCTTCAAATGCATGCATAAGTACTTTTTGATAACGAAGCGAGTAAAAAGTGTCCATGGCTTTTTACGAGTGAATGTGAAACAGCCATAATTAAACAACCGGATGGGAGTGTCGCCATTTGCACTGGTGTGGTTTTTAGCTCCGGTGTAGTAAATTTGGATGCATAAAGTGATTACACATATTCCTCAAGTATGTTACCTAGATAATTTGGGCTAATTGGAATGAAAATGCGAACATGAAAAACGAGGCACATCCTTCTTAACCGCACCTACTTTACCATTTTCAAATAACAAACTTTCCACATTCTCTGCAATGTCGTGTATGTATGTAAATTTAATAATGCAAAACATGCGATTATATAACCTCCATCTTCGCACAAGATACAAACAATTACAGAATTTGTGCTGGCGTTAATGCCGCATTTTTGGAAAATAATATTAGTCTTACTTGAAGACGTACTTGAATTTATGCAGAAATTCCCAGAATAATAAAATCTATAAAAATAATATTATGAACCTGCTGTCAAGTGGCAAGGGTATTTTTTTCGAATTCACAATTGTTTACATGTGGATAAAATATAAATGTGCATTTTATGTAAAATATGTACTTAAGCCAAGTCGGCATTTATAATGCAACACGCAAGCAAAACGATATTTCGCCCATCTCATCTTACCAGGAACATTAAAATAATATTAAAACAATGTCCCACACATATCTCGCACTAATTAACATTAAGCCGTTATTTCGTGACTGAGAAAACCTTGAGAAATTTCTTAATTTTGTTAAAGTTGTAACAACTTATTCTTATCGTTGTTCATGCTTAATTGGTGCTATTGAGGAGGTCACATAAATGTCCATTGCAACCTCGTGAGCATGGAATGAAATTGAATTCGTTAATTGAACACTCATGTTATTCATGGAGCAACAAAGTGTTATTTACAACAACTTTTACTTTTTATGCTAAAAATTATTAACAACTTACCCAAATACTAAATGTCCCATCGATCAGAAGATCCCAATAAAATTCACATTAATTTTTAATTATTTAAGAATCACAATACGAAAACACCACAACTTTTACATTCAGCACAGTTTTGTATGCACTTGTAACTCAGCGTTTATAAATTTACTGAAGGCACACACGTGATGTAACTCCGTATTTGTTTGTATACTTGCGCTTATCGAAGATCAAGGAATTTAAGTTGTGGACTGAAATTGAGATAGCAAAGTTAATAAGTAATTGACGTATGTAAATCAAGAAGGACGCTATGTGTACAACATTAAAAACAAAGATCATGGGCTTGCATAGCCTTAAGAGTGAGTCGTCTCAAGTCCAAAACCCTACTGACATGGTTAAACAGTGAATTCTGGCCAGTTGCACGTGGAGTTTGGCACTCTGTGAGATCCCCAAAGTTTTATTCAATGGAAGGATAGCATTTGACGAAAAAACACGTCATTTTCTGCAATTCTCATTGGTCGTCCAAGTTTACTACACCCACACTGTAATACACTCTGCTTAATCCTCAAACTAATTCTGCCTTGCAAAAGTCATTTCGTAAAAAACGAGATGTACGTATGCACGCCGTGGGGTATGAATGGCAACAAGTTTGGATGGAGGAGCTGTGGAAAATTAAGAAATTTCATGACTGGAGTTGCCCTTTTCCCAAGTATATCAGAGCAGTCCAATTAGTTGCTTTGCAAAAATTAGCAATCAAGTGATTGGTGTGTTGGGGGATGAAAGCCCAAAGAGAAAAAAGTTTGCATATGTCGTTTGACATTGTCCATGAATGTTCTTTTAACCAAATACTCTTGTTTTTATTTCAATTATATAAACACTGTTGACTGTTAAGCATGCACGTATATGCTTCAAATATTAATAGTACTGGCAGAGTTAACACGTTGGGTAAAGAGTTGCATATGGTTGTGTTGGCGTGGTGCAATATGTGCACATGAAATTGGCATACGTCTCGTCGTTTTTACTGGAATGGAATATCATACATTCGCAGGTATCAGGATTTACAAACATGTGGATGTAATGCTATATTAGCAGAGTAAATCGCAATTGCAGGCAGAATGTGCCCAAATTCTTCTGAAAACAACATGCAACTGGTATGAATTTAATTGTTGTTTAATAAACAAAACTATTACATTTCCAAGTACATCTCACATTCTCACCGTGTGTGTTGTCTTCAACTTTATTCAATTAACATGATCTTGCACCAATTTTGCTTACTTGTGTATTTTAAGTATTTTAGTTTTCGGTGGTGTCAAAATATTTTACAATTTTCACTGACCAGAGAGTCAGTTCAAAGTCTACATTTACCACGAAGCAATAAAGCTAAGCAACTTTTCCAACTAATTGCAAAAAAGAGAGGTACATGGATTAGATACATGAGGAAAGCTCAGTCATGGTGGTAAAATGTCTAGTATATTTAGACAAATATAATTTTTAAGATATGTGTTTCGCTTCGGGACAATATTCTTCAATTGAATCTACCGTGTATTGGTGATTGTCAATTTGTGCACCTGTCGGTTCAGTCAGAAGGGTCGTGAGGTAGGTTGGGAGGGACGAGTTATTACGCGAGCAGGTTTTTAAGCCGAGCTTTGCTAATTATCTGGGCGAGTTCTCTTGTCCTATGTTTCTTTGCAAATGCACGTTAAATTGTGTTGATCTTTTAATGAAACCAGTGGGATGAGTTAGTGGGTGTACCTTTCCCGCAGTTCTTTTCGATTATCCAAGTTAGTCTTTGTTCAATTTAATTCATCATACATTCGTATATACGTACGTATTATGGTAGAATCTCTAATGCAAGTTTGCTGCATGGTGTAAATAGTGTCCGTATTGAGTACCACACAGACACACCGGTTTCATTAATGAAACCAAAATTGCTTTCTCTAAACTGGTGATAAGCGGATGCAGATTTTTGTAAAATAGTCTGTGTACAATTTTCTGTCCCAAACCCCGTTGCTGATGTGTGAAACTCATTTGTCAAATTGTGAATGTAGGGAATTCCCACCATTTCCTAGCTTTTTAGCACCACGGTATATGTAAAGAGTTAATATTTGTTCTTTTGAATACCAACAGCTCATTATGATAATGATGGTTTAAGTGCAATATACCACTGCCCGCATAGTCCACGTTGCAATCCGCATGAACAGTGTCTTGACTTCTCGGTAACTTAATTATCACGATTCAAGGTTTTTGGGGTAGTTATTCCCACAATTATATAGACAAATATGGTGCGAATTATTGAGAATTTGTACTATAATTAGTATTTTGAAACGAGTAACAATATTGTATTCACCAGTTCATTTGTTTGGATCGACAATTAGTCTTATCTGTCCGAAGAAGATATTTATTTTGCATATTTTACATTCTGCATAATCTAATCTGTATCCGCCAACCACAAATGAGTCGTCACGCGGAGTAAACCAATTCATTCTCCACTCTATAAATGGTAAACATTGGTACAGGAGAGCTGATTCATTACTAATTTGCAATACATAATTTGCACTTTGTGTGTATGGCTGTGTTAACAAGTACTTTTGGTTTTAGTTAATTCATTTATTGAATTTAGCTTCGTCGCCAATATTTGCATGCAAATTTTACTATTTCATAACTGGCTCGATTCGATTTAGAACTGGCTAAAATTGAATTAACGCTGTTATTCTTCTTAAAAATTTAAAATTAACTAGCCGTAAATCGTGTACGCATCCGTATGCAACATGACCTACGTGATACGGAGAAAATTACAGGAATGACTCATGTTGCTTTCATTCATATTTAAGCATGTAGTATTTTTTTTCATAAAAAAATTTGCACCGAGCACTGTTTACTCAAACGTAATCTGATTAACATCACAAGCTCAACCCACTCAAAATATAATGGAATAGGAAGAATCCAACTTGGGTCTTCTTGACTACATGAAAGGAAACACGACAAAAAACTGACCGAGTGACATTTAAGGTACTTTTCATTTCACTTTCTATTTCAACAGCCAAGAGCCAACCCGGATCCATTACGTCTTAAGTAATTCGCAACGATGACGGTATGTTAATTGATTACTCATCAATTGCATCATGAAGTGTGTGGTGTATGGTCACAGATAGTGGATGGTGGATGGTGTTGAATTTAACATATGTAATGGTATGTATGTAATCGTATGTTGTCTGTGCAATGTTAATAAAAGTGATGACGACGTGCGAAAAGGTTCTTGTTTATGACGGGGTCGATTCATTATGAAGTCACTGGAGTTGACTGGAGAAGTGAATGAAGTCATCATTTCGGGTTTCTTTCAATCTTGCTCCATGTATTTTAACATATTGACAAATCATACATCTGAATAATGAGATGACTCAAAGTTGTAGAATTTATCGTATTTAAAATTAACTGTGATTTCCAACAGTTGCTTGTATATGACTGGACAATAAGAAAGATGACCAACATTTTCTTGCTCAATAGCACTTTCATTTTCATCTGGACACTTAGATATTTTGGCGGAAGGGTTTCTTGGAATTCGTTGATCCTACTCACTAAGCTATATTTACATAGAAGAAATAATGCGTACTATGACACAAATCAATGTTTAAAAATATCAATGCTTGCTAAATACTATTACTAATCCATTCATAAATTGTAGATTTCTTGTAACTGCGGTTTACTCATTTATTACTGGACAACTCTAGTAAGAAATACGGGTGAACGAGAAATGTGTTTTGTTTTGACGAACTCAACTGCCAACGCTATGTAGTTATAGGAGAATCATGTTGCACCATGATTTTGCAGCTTTCGCAGGTTCATGAATCATGCCTGCATGACTTTTTGGATTAAAACTTTTAAAGGAGTGCCATTGTCGTGATGTACAAAAAAATGAAAATATCATTATCAAATTACAGCGAGTGAGCTGCCATTACCCTTTTGACTTTATTAAATAACTCTTAATTTTAATTGAAAATGTCAAAAGTACCCCATTGTTTTGTCATTAATAAATAAAAACGATGTGACTGAATTCAAACGAAGATAAGTAATTATGCAGTTAGGCGACAGTGTTGAACAAGACATTTAATTTTTTTCGAGCAAAGATAATCCATAAATGGGAATATTGTTTTGATAGACACAATAAGATAGCAAAATTGCTTGCCCAGGACGATAACTATTTGGAAGTCATTGCAATAAACCACTTGTAGCTCATCAAAGAGGTATAATCTAAAATCTTGACAATTGAAGGCCACAGCAGGAACAACGAGAAATGAGTTTGTAGTTAAAATTATGTACAACTTTATGTACAGTCAGCATTTATCGTAATCCAAAGGTAAACAAATCTTTAATACAGCAGTAATTAACTTCAATTTATCATTTCCTGTAATTGGTAGACGAGGTACAAAGAATGCTGTCTAAAAACTTGACGATTCTAATTAACGAGTTTACATATTTTGCTTCCACTTACATACATTCTAGTACCGTGCACGTACATATGACGTATGAAAGTATGTGCTATCTAAGTACATTAGGGTTATACTTGTATAAATATCCACATGTACCCTCGTACGTTTTTAATTTGCTGTCCATATTGTCTGCTGGATTGTAATTATCACCAGCACTCCAGGAGACTTTTTTTGCAGAGTTTTCGCAATTTGACATGTTAGTTGCAGCAACATATTTATGTAGTATACATATACGAATGCAAGATGAACTATACCGTCTAAATTTTCAAAGATATTATTATGTATGAAACTCATGTCTCATGCAGGTACACAGACGGCAGATTTATTTACGTATATCGTTCTGCAAAATTGAAGCAGAAGTTAAAGGTGTTGTTCCGCTATGCTGCTCTTGCAGTGGGAATGCAGTTAAGTTTTAATACAATAAAAAACTCAAGGCCCATGAAACAATTTATTACATGTTCATCCTTTGACACATCCACAAGAATTGAGATTTGATGTTTTGAAGTATAATTTTGGACATTGCCACAAAAAATGGCTTTGTTCATTTTCAATACACAATCATAATTTTATTATTTGAAAGGGTGTCTGGTAGTGGACAGTACTTATTCTGTCCCATATATTGATCAATTTTAGCTATAACTTAACAATTTGCATATATTTTGCTATCTGTCGGGACCACATGGTGTGTATGTAAATATCTAGTTACTTACATAGTATCCTAAATTAATAAAATATGGTTTTCGAAATAAGGTAGTTTTATTTTAAAATTAGTAAAGGCTTGTGTCCTAAATAAAAGATTATGATTCCCTTAAATAAGTAAAAAAAAATCTGTCTAACATATAAATATGGCTGTATATTATTGTATATAAATATATTTACACTCAATCCAATGTGCATAGGTCAGGTACAAAAACACTTACATTTTAAGGGCTACAATTTACTACCTCAACTCAAGATTATGATGGATAAGGTGTCGAGGACAGGATAATGTCGAAGAAGTTAAATTATTTTTATGCCCATGAAGCTGGTTAAACCATTTTGCATCATCCATGTTAACTACGATGGACTGTACATGTAACCCATTGCGATGCTAATAGAGCCATAAAGCAAACGATAATAATTTTCTCGAACTTCATTCTTATTCCTTGAATAGCTTTCACGTTTCACGACATTTTAATGTAGTATGCAAATTTTGTGTCGTAATTTTTCTGGCAAATGTGACAATTTTTTGTGAGCTGGTAATTAAAAACATAGAAGGGCAGAGTTGAATGGAAATTCCGCAATTTTCACAAAGACGATAACAAGACAAATTAAGACTGAGCATTGTGCATTCCTAATATCCCCTTGAAGCCATCGCATCTAAGGTATTAATGCACGCTTGATTAAAATGCATACGGATACTTCTAGCCTTTGCAGAGGCTCGACGCTTTGTGAGAAGGCCTTGAATATTGTAAATTAAATTCACACGTTTTTCTGCAACTAGAGATCTTGTACTGATTTTGAATTCGTCTTCATCAATTAATGATTTAAAGAATATCAAAAAGTAACATTTTCATTTACTTGAAGCTTGGGTGAATTGCATTCTTTTAAAAATCGACAGCAGTTTTTATGAAGCACGTATGCAGCGTTTTGTAAGCTATCAAATGAGTGAGTAATTTCATGGTTCTGCAAAGTTTAAAAGTTTGCCCGTTTGACACACATTTCAAATTCCGACACATGGATAAACATTTATTCTATTTTCACCAGAATAGTTGGAAAAAATGATTTTGCAGATTTATTTTAAGAATTTGTAGTCTGGAGAACATAGTCTGGAGAAAATACATGCCACATGTTATGATTCATGTGGCTGTAACATACACGTATTTACGTATCTAGTTAATCACGTTTAATGGATCATATTCATGCTTAGTTGTCTTTAGATTTCTGCTTATTTTGCATTGGTTTTTGGTATTGGAACAATCGAGAGTTCAACTTTAAGGCTACCATATTTATTTACAGAGGTTATTCTAAAGAGAAACGATGCATTCACATAAATGAGTTGGGTTTACAAAGATTAGGATTGGCTGCACTCCGGGTTACTAACTTTACTAATTCTCAAGTAAGCTGAATGCATGCTCACATGGAAAACGAAGCCGGCACAAAGGATGGGAAAGATACGGAACAAGATTCAACCCGAGCTTTGAAAATCTTATAAGATTTTCATCCCAAAATAAACTTTGACCCGGAGCCAAAAGTCTTCCATTCCGTCAGTCATCCGAAGGAGTTTGTAGAGTGAACAACATTTCCTGAGTGTTTTAAAACCCATAAAGCATCGAGTCTCCTGTCGGTGCAGTTGCAGAGTGTCGGGTGGGTAGATAACCAATGTCTCCTCCTACAACGAATTGACAGACAGGAGTTCAGAGTTGTGCTGTCTTCCGAGAACGGAAAAATATAGTTTAAAGATGTGGGAAAGAAAAAGAATCACATTTAAAATCTTCTTCCTCTCCTCCTTTGTGTTTCTGAGTAATTTTTATGGGGCGCTTTCGGAGGATGGCGTTCCCCCTAAAATGTTCCCGTACGGACTGGACCACGTTGATGTCAACTTGCCCAGAGGTGAGCCAATAGACTACTTGCTTTACCCGTACCTTTGCATCGAGAAGAAATTAATAATTTTCTGAAAAAAGTGATTAGCACATGCGCTAAAAATTATTGAACAAAAATAATATATATCTTTCCATCAATTAATTAATTTAGATGTGGATGACATTTCCTCGCCTGAGATCAGACTGCAGACTCCAATTGTCTTATATGGACAGCAGTACACGAGTGTGTTTGTAAGTCAAATGTCTAATAAGTACGATTGGAATAAAGCAAAGCATGAAATCATCACTAATCAAATCGTTACAAAATTAATTCCGACTCTTAAATATTTTGCAGGTCAACCAAAATGGTTTGATTTCGTTCCTCACAGAGATTCCGACGTTTGTCAATATTCAGTTTCCTCTGGATTATCCTGTAATTGCCCCATTCTACTCGGATGTAGATACAAGAATATCTGGAACAGTGTATTACAGGTAAGGTCCATTCTCGGTGTTTAATATTGTCCTGTCGTGTCATGGCGTCATTTGGCTGCATACTACAATTAATTCCATTAAAATCTCAGCAGTGGGGTACGATAAGAAACTTGTTTCACCCAAAGACGTTTTTAATGCATTAATTTTTATTAATTGAAATGTCATCTCCTATCGTTTGACGTCATTTAAGCGTTCAAATATAAACGCTGCATTTTTATTAATCCTGTTTATTTTAACAGGCAATAAATTATGATGCCTAATACTTATACATATCTACATAGGTGCACTAGGCAGAATATTTCTGTAGCAATATGCGATATGTTTCTATGCATCGCTAAAGTTTGGACTCCAGGTATGCACCAATTGGGATACTTCGAACCCAGACTGATTGTACTTTACAACTTGACTTGCCAAACAGGCTTCGTTTAGAACACATCACGATATTAAGTAACACATGTATGTAGCTCCAGATTGTTTACATCAACGCAATGATGATGCAACCTCTATTTTTGCAAAACTGCATGCAAGTATGAATTACCAAACAAATTGGAGAAACTTTTATATCAGTTTGCGATGAGATGCGATGAGAAACAGCGTGATATTGAATGGTGCAAGCCGTCCAGCAAAATCGACTTTACGTTCATGGAGAGTCATTACGTGTTACGCTTATCAAATTTGAATGCATGTATGTACTTGAGCAATATATACGTAAATGCATTATCTATACATACAGCTAATTACTTGTACTTAATAAATTATTGTCGTGTATTATTATTTACCGAAGAATGGAACTGTGCAAACCGCACCACTCGACTGTCATGATATCAATGGGCACACTCCCCAGAAACAATGATCCTTACCTTACATATTTATATGCTGCCCAAAGTACGCTGTTTAAGTACCCCGAGGATTCGACATAGACTTCTTCTAGTCACGACTTTGTCATAAATATTGATTCTGTCATCGGCAGGAAAATGTCATTGAATAAAATTATGATTTCATTATATGTACGTACGTACGTACCCATATCATCCGATGATCAGAAGCAAGCAAGATTATATTGTTGCGCAGCAAGTTATTATTCACGGGGACAAAAAATTAAAGTTGATAATTCAACGCATTGTTTTTGCTTTAGAGAAACTCAAGCTGACGAATTGTTGGAAAGAGCAAGAACAATGTTTTCTGACCATTTCTCATCCGCCGTCAATTTCCAACCCTCGAGCCTCCTAATCGTGACGTGGGATGATGTGGGCTACTTTGATAGAAAGAGTGACAAGGTATTCACAAATAAGTTGCCTCCTGGAACTCGTGTGGCTCCAGATGAACGGGTATTTTATTGTTTCATGTATGCATGCACGTACTCATAACTAATTGATGTCGCCATCGCAGAAAAAAAATTGGGGGCAATTGAGTTTGAACAAATTCTAAATTATGTATATAAAGAGTTAAATACCTAGTTTCATGCGCCGCAAATAGTGTTTGTTGCTTTTTAATTACTTATCTAATTACGAGCATTGTTAGATATCTGCATACGTATGGTCGGCTACAAAAATAGTGTTTTGATTCTCTGGAAAATTAAAGATCTTCCAGCTTCATGTCCATCGTCACATAATTATTGGTAAAATGCTTATTGAAATTTATTTTGCTGCCATCACATCAGTGATACACATTAGTACAAAGTTGAGCACCAACTGACCCACTTTTGAACGATTGTTTTATTTAGTCTGATCTTTCATCTAAAATTGGGCCATGTCGACTGTACTTTCATTCAATTACAGATACCATGTCCTGCCAAGACTTGAGACAATCCTCATTTTTCATCCTCAATTCAGTCTACAAGTTCCTTTTTGTTTTAAGGATTTTGTATAATTCAATTTTAATTTTGAATTGATATTTCAGTACGACGAATTTTAAATTTTAAATCTTTTCTCTAGCATGACAAAATAGACGTTGTTGGCTAGAATTAGTTTGATGTCACACTTTATTTGTTTGTGCTGTTACTGTAAATGAACCTTTCAGACAATTTTACGGCAACAGATTCCACTTGGCCTGTGCCTGCTCAATGATTCACAATTTGTGCATATGTACATATGCACATATACTGCACCACATCCGTAATCAAAACAACGCCGCCCACGGTTTTGGCAACAGTCGATGATCTGCATGCTGGAAGCATTTTTGCATACAGAGTTAACATGCATAATGTTTCTCTAAGCCATTGCATAACAATGATTGACTGCTGATGGCTTAAACAGAAGCCAAGAAACATATCAAACAGATAAATTTGGAAGAGAATACCAATCTTGCCAGCTAAGAAATAAGAATTAGAGTTGGAATTGTTGGGCATATGTATTATCAGACTCATCCTCAGATTAAGAGAATTTCTTACAGTTTGTAATTTTGCTTCTTTTAGAGTAACACATATCAGTTGGTAATTGGATCTGATGGCGGTGACTCGTATGTGGTCTTCCTGTACGACAAAATACAATGGATACAAGGGACAGGAAAAAATCCAAGTTTGCCTGATGCAAAGGCTCAAGCCGGGTATGGATCCTCAAAGCGGTGTAATCCAAGGGACTTGTTTTTACTTTGAAAATATGTATGTATGTACACTTACAGTCTCAATTCTGGAAATGGACCTCACTTTGAACTTAAAGGATCTGGAACCGATCAAGTTTCCAACATTCACAAGTTTGTTAACTTTTTAAACCATGCCACCCATCAACCTACTTTACTCGTTTACTAAATCCTCGTCGGCATGCATGTTCTAAACCATTCTGTGGAGATTCTTAGGATTAGTATGTACATTTTTTTCTCCCCTAATAGAGAGTTGGAGATTTTTTGTACTTTTACTTGTACTGTACTGTGACTACAGTACAATACAAAAATTAGTACAAAAATCAAAAGACCTGGAGAATTTCATTATTTTGTACTCTGAAAAAATTGTATTGTAAAACTCCGCGAAATAGATGAGTCAAAAATTGAGACAAATCAACTCATGATATACAAAATGAGAATCCCTCCAACATGTGCGTTTAAAACGATCAAACCAAAAAGTCGAAATTTTTTACCCTTGACCTCGATTAAAACGGTCACCAGGCTGATATAAGCCGAAATGATAGTAATTTCTGAACTCCTCGCTTCAAAGTGAACTACGTCTGCAACGGTTGAAATAAAATATTAACATTTTTGACCTTTGACCTCGTGAACATGGTCACGGGGTCTTCATACGTTAAAGCTATGCAGATTTCTTAAATTCTCGCCTTAATACACGTCTAAAACAGTCGACACTTAAATTGCGACCTTTGACCTCGTCCTTTCGGTCATTGGTTGGTCGTAGGTCAAAAGTATTGACGACTATAAATTCTTGGTGAAATTTCCTTTAAAATGATACCGCATATGAAAATTAAGGTACAATTTTGCGTTTACTTCACGCCAGGGTGACCTTGACCTTGACCACAGGGAGCCCATCTTCGAACTCGACCTAGGGTCAAAAATTAGAAGCAAAATGGCGAAAACGGCGTCTGATTACATTGAGGCGTTCTAGAGATATCCTAGTTGCCAACCCTTGATTTTTCCACAGTAGTACAAATTGAGCCCGTGTTTCAATTTGTCTACTGCAGACTGTAGAATTAGTACAAAAAGCTGATGACGTCATCATCTAGAGTCCACAGTACAGTCTACAGTCAGAGTACAAGGAATCTCCAACTCTCTAATGAAGAGTGCATGAGCTCTTGCTCGTAGTCGTTGTTTACTTAAACGGTTCTCATTGTGCTGGCACACATGCCTACGTAAGTCAGTCATAATATGAGTGTCACACTGAAATGAAACATTAGTCCAATAACTTTACGAATTTGTTTGGGGAGTCGTCTTTTTGGAATTAACAGAATATTTCTATGAATCGTTATAACTTTTCTAAGCAAAAACAATAATGGTCGATCATGAGAACGAATAGCTCTGGAGATGAATGTACACATGTTTAGTTTGAGATGGCCTGCAGCTGCAACAAACTGTCGTATGCATAGCCTCAGCACAAGTAAAAATAAATTTAATGTCTTTCGTCCTACGTGCAAAATGTAGCGTGCCAATCCATTAATGCAAAGATCAATAGTAAATTTTAAAAGTTAAAAAGGAAAGATGCATTAGTCCAAGAAAAATAACTTCTGACACATTTCTTAAAATTACTTATCATTTATGTAAAATATTTAAACAAGTATAATTAATTATTTAATCTAGACGTTCTAACGTCAATGAGGAAGGCGTTTGGATGCTTAGAATCGGTCGTGTGAGTAATAATTTGGATGAACCTGACTTGAATGTTCCTCGAGGTAAGTAAGAACTAAAATTTAAATAGAAAAAGACGCCAGCCGCTTTGACCTATAATTAAATATGTGTTTTCTCTGACCCATTTTTCTTATCGAAATGGAGGTTACTATGTATGTACAAGATTTGTTATTCAAGTTATGTAATAAGTTGTTTGTACACAATATTTCTAAAGAGTCGTCTCCTGAATCAAGTTCCTCGTGTGCGTCTGGTGGGGTTACAAGCTGTCACAGTCAGGCTTCATGTGTGGACTACAATCCTGGCTTTTGCTGTCAATGCAGAAGACATGGAAATTTCTTTGGAAATGGGAGAGTCTGTTTGCAAGAAGGTAATGTCAACCTTAAAAGTATTCTTCACAAATTCAAGTGTGTAAAGCTTGTAAAGTGAGAGGTGCATGTGCACTAATGCAGTTCATACATCTCTACATAACCTCGATGAAATTTAATTAACTGGGCTTAATATGTAATTATTTATGATGAATGCAACTAATTATTTCCTCCATACTTTCCTCTGAAACCCAAACATCTAAATTGGCAAATATTCATTTAATCTCAAATTATCAAACACAAAATCTGATATGCGTTTACGAAATGCATTTATAAGTTCTAGGAATCAAAGCTTATTTTATGTTATCTGATGATCGTAATTTATCTATCCTGATTCTTGAGTCTTATTTATTTTTCACATTTCATTTTGTACAGAATCTCCACTCCGAGTAAACGGAAAAGTCAGGGGAGTGTTTAATGGGGTAGCAATTGACGACTCTGACCTGTTTTCGTACATCGTTCCTCAGGATGGGCGTGCTTACACGGCCATCGCCAAAATTCCTGAGCGACTTGGGTACGACATGCAAACTGTCATTACACTCGGAACAAGTATAGGTTGGCTGTTTAGCACAGCAGTGAAAGGGGCACCCAACGGCTTCTCCTTGACGGGTAACAGAAATTACACATAATTGTAACTAATTATGTATAATATTTAAATATATTTACAATTTGTTAATATATTTTCTCAGGCGGCGTCATGAATTACACGTCAGAAATAAACTTTCACCAAACTGGGCACAAGGTTCAACTTCATCAAAATTTTATGGGGTTGGATGTCTTCTCCCATTTAAAGGTTGACAGCAGAATTCATGGGTCTGTTCCTATCGTGCCAGTTGGGAAAACGATTGAAGTGAACGATTTGAAAATGGAGTTTACCAGAGTTTCTGCGGGACTATTACGATCCAGATCATCTCACTCTTACGTTGTAGAAGGGACATCACAAGAACATCCATTTACCATCGAGCAAACGATAGAATATGAAGAATGTCCATTTGTTTCCCCTGTTCCTCCGGAAATGGACACTCTAACCACAAAAGGTTACTAGCTAATTTTTGAAATATCAGTTGTTGATAAATAATAATTACTTAATTGGTCGGTACTAAGTAATCTTTTTCGTAGTTGGGAGACATTACATTGTTTACGACGTGTCTCAAGAAATTGTCAGATATGCCATCACCAGCAAAGTTTCACCCGTAGATGGTAAAATATTCAAGCAGTTAAACAAATAAACTTTGATTTTTGTTTCCCCTGTCGTGAGGAAATGTTGATGGTGGATTTTATTTAGGTGAGGATCCATGTAAAGTGAATAAAGACAAGTGCGGACCTAACAGCTCGTGTGTGGTGGAAGGAGACAATTATCGATGCATTTGCAATTTGGGGTGAATTGATTTATTTTCGTTTTAATATATTATTCTAATATTAAATAAAAATGAAAACGCCCTGCTTTAGATATGAACAAAGCTACACTTACGAAGACGATGGTGCAGCTCCCGTTGATCAATCAGAACCGGAATGTACTGATGTTGGTGGGTCTTTTACATTTAAAGTTTGGTCTTGAGGAATAACCTCTTAATGTTATCTATAATACCTTTTTTAGACGAGTGTCAAATTGGGACGTCAACATGTGATGTGACCGCCGTGTGTTACAATTCTCCTGGGTCATACAGTTGTGAATGTTTGAGTGGTTATTCTGGAGATGGGTACACCTGCACCAAAATTTTATCTTGTGCGGATGTGCAATGTGGTCAAAATGCAGAGTGTGTGGAGTTATCAGCTGGAAACCCTGAATGCAGATGCCTGCCAAAATTTTATGGAGACGGGCTTTTCTGTTATGAACCAACAGGGGTTGAGGTTGGTACTGGTATGTCCACACGGTTAAATTTGCCATATATTAAAGCTATGTATATATGTATTTACATCCCGTATTCAAAATAAAAATCTGTTTGAATGACAAGGGGATCAACCCGACTGTAGACAAGTCCGTGACCTTTGTGACCCTTTTGCTGAATGCGTGTTTAGCAGTTCCAGCGAGTCCTACGTCTGTAGTTGTCAGCAGGGTTACACGGGAGATGGTCTAAGCTGTCACAGGGATACTCCAACCGATGGTTCGAATGTATAAATCTTGTCACAGTGTGAAGTATGGTCAATATCGATATTATTGATTGAAAATAATTTGTGTCCATTTATCAGAAGAGAGTTGTGATATAATAAACAACTGTCACCCATACGCTGACTGTAAATTGGACGAAACCCAGAGTGAGTACACTTGCGTATGTCAACCTGGATACTTTGGTGACGGATACTCTTGCCTTCGATCTCAAAACTATGGCCCTTCATGTGAGTCATTATTGCGTGCAACATCAACGGAGATCTGAGGAACTGTCTAATGATCTGATTTTTCAGACGAGGAGGAACAACAACGCCCGAACCCAGTTTGTGTTCTCGGAAGTTGCTACTGTTCTGGAGGCTATGAGTATGACGAGGACCGTGGAGAATGCAAATTTTCCTCTGTTGTAAAATCCTCGTCCAGTGCGTATTATTTATGTGTATAGCATATATTGGTTTCTATTTTACCATGATTAATATTACAAATAATTTCAGCCGAGCAATCTCAATGCGACACGGATTCCGCAATGTGCGACTCCAACGCGTCTTGTTTATACCAAAGTGGAAAATACAAATGCGTATGTTTGAACGGATTTTCTGGAAATGGTCTGCAATGTTCTCCTCAAGGTTTGCTTTTTTTACTCGCCAAGTTACTACTGCCACATTTAACCTTTTAAGCATTTACATTTTATAGTCGAAAATGGGGAATGAACTTTGACCATGAATGTCATGGAGAAAAATTTTACACCAAGTTTCCAAAACCATGGTGTTCATGTCATATTTTTTATACATCGAAAGACCAAAGCCATGTTAGTCATGGTCACAAAAATTTGCATTGCAGGACCAATACCATCAAAGTCATGGCGATTGTTTTTGCAAGAAAATACTTTGACCATGACATACATGGAAGTCGAAAATAATAATTTTCACAGCTTTTTAGCCCGAGTCAGGGCTTATGGAACCGTCATGTCCGTCCGTAAACACGATAACTCTCTTTAAACACAAGCTACCGACTTGAAATTTTTACCATGTGCATATTGGACAAAGTTAGGGATCGAGTTCGAAGATGGGCGAAATCGGTCAACTGGTTACCCGGTGGGGGTCATCGGAGTGGGTGGGGTCTTATGCACCAAAATTTCAAAATTGTCGTAGAAAGCTGAAATTTGGCACAGAGGTTGCTAATGGCTCCTAATAGATAAAAATGAGTTCAAGTTGGAAAAAATTTCATCTTGAGGGACCCTAAGGGGTTACCCATACGGATTTTTCAAAATCGTCATACCGAGCTGAAATTTGGTATGAAGGTTAAAAACCTCTTCTGGAGATTTGGTGTAAATTCTCGCCCACAAGTTCTCGCCCGTAAGTTTTCACCGTATGTAAATTCTCACCCATACAAGTTCTCGCCCATACAAGTTCTCACCCGTACAAGTTCTCACCCATACTAGTTCTCACCCATGAAAATTTTTCCCCATCCTCAATTTTATGTGAAAAAGGGTTTCAGCTATACTTAGCTCATGAAATTGTATCACTGATAACTGGTAAAACCAATATGACATTTTTCGACTCCATTCTAAATTTCAGCTGATAATATCAACTTTTACAAATTTTAGAAGTAATGATTAACCAAATATACTGATAAGTCTACCTGTTTCAATAATTCAAATCTTGGAAGTTTATTATACAAAACCTACAGTGCAAACTCCATTTATCCCGAGTCAGGGACAGAGTCTCTGACTCGGTGAGTCACAACCCGCTTCTCCGATTTGACCGACATAATATTACCAAGCTCTGTGGTGTGAATGGTTAAATCTTTGTTAGATATTTTCTGTTATTTGGCACCAAATTTTTGAAGGATTTACAAATTTTTCCCAGTTACTACCAGGATCGGTGGGCTTATTTAACATCTTGAACTTGAACAAAGCTATCCAGAAGTGGTTTTTGGCCTTCATACCAAATTTCAGCTCGGTTACCCGCTAGGGTCACTCTGGCTGCACTTGGCTCACTTTTAACTTCATATTCTTTCATAAGAAGCATTAAGTATCACCGTATCGGATTTCATATTTTTAAACCAATTTCTAAAAATCGGTATGGATGACCCTGTAGGGTCGCTGCAGATAAAAATTTTACCAATTTCATTCCATATTGTTCCATTAAGACCCATAAGCCTCTCTACCAAAATGTCATATTGGTTTTACCAGTTATAAGTGACACAATTTCATGAGCTAAGCATAGCTGAAACCCTTTTTCACATAAAATTGAGGATGGGGAAAAATTTTCATGGGTGAGAACTAGTATGGGTGAGAACTTGTACGGGTGAGAATTTACATACGGTGAAAACTTACGGGCGAAAATTTCCGGGCGAGAACTTACGGGTGAGAACTTGTGGGCGAGAACTTGCATAGTACCCTTCTGGATAGCAAATACAGCTTTATCCAAATTCAAGATGTTAAACAAGCCCACTGATCCTGGTAGTAACTGGGAAAAATTTGTAAATCCTTCAAAAAAATTGGTGCCAAATAGAAAATACCTAGCAAACATTTAACCATCCATAAACCGGAGGTTGGTGATATTATGTCGGTAATTCGGAGAAGAATTTAGAAGCGGGTTGTGACTCACCGAGTCAGGGACTCTGTGAGTTTTTACGTTTTCTAATTTCTTAAAAATACTCTTCGTTCGTCAAAATTGTTATAAAACTCGCTTCCTTCTAGCCAATTCATGGCCCTACATCATGCTATTTGGAAAAACTTGCCTGAAAAACTGCAAAATAACCGTACTAGAGTAGAACTCATTTATAAAACCTATCAGTGAAGCTTTGCTTAGCCCGAACCAGGATTGATTATCAAACCATTGTTTGTCAGAATGTAACAGTCAGTTGTTAGTATTACTTGGCACCAAATTCTAAAAATTTCAGCTTTTTAAGACAATTTCTGAATATCAATATGGGTATGGGTCACCCCAACGGGTCCCGGCATATGCAAATTTTATCAATTTCACTTCATATTCTTCCATTAGGGGCCTCTATACCAATTTTCAGCTCGATTGGATGAATTTGAAAAATCGGTATGGGTCACCCCCTCGGGTACCTCTGGTTGACAAATTTTTCCAATTTCACTTCATATTCTTCCTTTAGGAGCAACTAGAACGCTCCATGTCGAATTTCAGCTTTCTAACCAATTTTGAAATTTTGGTGCATAATACCCTACCCACTTATATGACCCCCACCGGTTCTAAACTTTTCTGATCGAACCCATCTTCTAACTCGGTCGTTGCATTGCCCAGGTACATGTCTGCACCAAATTTGGTCAAAATTGGTTAACTCGTTCGACAGTTCGACTGACATGACAATTACATAAGCCCTGGTTCGGGCTAAAAATCACAACTCGAGAAAAAGTCAGCCTTTGGATGTAATCCGAATATTTTAACGTTGCGATGTGATTAAAAGTCGACAATAATTACTTAATAAATTTCGTAAAAAATTGATATATGTAACTAAGGACGGATCTTTTTAATTGTTCTTTTCGCCCGGCACTTCGTGTAAAATTGTTCGCCATGACATACATGGTCAAAATGCTTAAAAGGTTGTGTAAGATGTTGAGACTCATATGATAAAATATTTAAATGGTTCAAGATTATTGCTCCAGTCACTCTGAATGCAGTCTTCACGGGGAATGTGCATATGATCCAGTCGAACTTCGCTACTCTTGTCGTTGTCGAAATAATTTTGAAATGGTTGGAAAAGAGTGTCGACCAAAACAGGAAGTGGGTTGCGATATATTGCGAAATTGTGACACCAATGCGCAATGTAGTTGGGACGCGAGACAATCAAAATATGCATGCGAATGCAAACCGGGTTTTCGCGGAAACGGTCTCGTATGCCGAGAAGAAGCTTTGGGTGGGGGATGTCAAGGTCCACAATGCACAAGAGAAGCTTCGACTCCGGAAGGCGACCAAATTGTCGTGGCAAAGGGCATGTCCCTCATCAAAATTCAGTTGCAAGGAAATAAAGCGGTTCCTCTGACAGTTGATCCTTTCCAAACGGCGATCGGCATTGATTTTGACTGCTTCAATCAAAAATTATACTGGAGCGACGTTGCCACAAGAGCCATTAAAATGGGAAATGTAAACGGATCTGGCAAAGGATCATTCCTTGATGAAGGTATGTATACAAATCTTGCGTAATTATGTGTTGATGCAACTTTCTTTGCACGGATGACTAATGTATTTTCGTACGTCAATCAGATATTGGTTCCCCGGAAGGCTTAAGCATTGACTGGGCATCAGGAAACATATACTGGACAGACTCACTCCGGTAAGGCTGATATATTTGTAAAATTTAGAGCACAAACTAGATGCGCTTATTTATAACCTTATACAACAATCATGGGTCTCACTTGTCTGAAACCAGGCGTAAAATTTTAAACGATATTACGGACTTTTTGAGTCTCTAGTTTTGATATCGTTTTACATATTTCATACATGTTTTATGTATATATATGAAATCACCACGCCAAACAATAACTATAAGTTCTGAATCATTTTAATAACATTTTTTAACTTTTGCAGAGATACAATTGAAGTTGCCAATTTGAAAAACCAAGTTAGGAAAACCGTCGTCTCAACGGATCTTGTAAACCCACGAGGAATTGCAGTGTATCCACAACGAGGGTACTACATAAATGCATATATACATAGCTATTTAACTTACGAGTACATGCACTAAGAAGTAATAATTATTTGTACATTCTTAGTCGATTGTTTTGGAGTGATTGGAACAGAGATTATCCTAAAATTGAATACTCTGGGTTGGACGGACAAGAACGCCAAGTTTTGGTAGGGGAAGGATTAGCTTTACCGAATTCCCTGGTTGTAGACACTGATGGAGATCAATTGTGTTGGGCGGATGCTGGAACTCATAAGATTGGTGCGTACATCATTTAGCACTTAAAATAAGTTCACAAGAGCTAAACTTTGAATGCATAACAAATATTTAGAATGTGTTGGAATTGATGGAAGAAATCGGAGGACTCAAGTGATGAATGTTCCATATCCGTTTGGGTTGGCACTTGGGCCAGATCACTTTTATTGGAGCGATTGGGAATCGTACGCCTCAAATTTTAAAACGTTTTCAAAATTATTTATGTAGTTTTTCATGTTATAATCCTTATCTTAGGAAACAAATTGAAAGTGCATCTCGTCGAAATGGTGAGCGTTCTTCCAGTTACGAGGTTTCATTAGGAGGTCCTGGGAAATTGTATGGCGTGGTTTACATCCCTGCTCAATGTCCTCAAAGTAATAATTTCAGTATTTCCGCATTGATATTTTTAATTTATGTGATACTAATTGATGTTCTTCTAATGATACTCCAGTGTACAGCCCTTGTGAATATAGTCCGTGTGGAAATGAACGAATTTGCCTTCCGAATATTCGAGGTGGTCGATCCTGCATTTGTGGCGACAATGCTCCCGATGAGTGTCAGAATTTGTTGTAGTAATGGAATGCTGCTTTTATAATTAGATTCACTACCTGACTTTTAATTATTTCTTCATGCACAATTCTCACTTGTTGTTGAAGTTCACACCATATGATTATTTATAGCCTTTGCTGCCAATAAAAAATGGTTATGTATTTAATCTGTAGTTATTAAGATCAAATTTGTTATTATAAGTAATCTGTTATTGGTTTGGTATGATTTGTTTACTCGGATTTTTAATTGTAATAGTTATTTTATGTAATAGATGAGCATTGCGAGTTTGTCAAACTTATCATTCTTTGCTTATATGAAAGACTCGATGGGTATGTAAGCGAGTACATCTAAACTACTTAAATATATTAAACAAATAATATAAATAAAAGTTAAGAGGTGGATTCAATTTTTTAAAGCTTATTTCCCAAAAACGTTAAGTCCAAGGATTTCCAAAATTTCATTCTCTCTTCAATTGGGTCATCAATAATCGTTGTCGAATTGTTTGCGATCCGTAAATATTTCAAGGGAGAGTTTGAGCTGAGGTCCACAGCTGGCCAGTAGACCCCATCGTAAAACACTTTATCTCTGAAAAAGTATTATGATTCATAATTTATAAAGTCCATTTATGCAAATTATTTTACATGAAATATGTACAAAAACCAACCCTTTGGCAAAATCAGTCCATGCTTTGACCATGACTCGAGATGCATCGTAATCAATACTTCCTTGTCTGGCCTCCAAGAAAACATTAAGATTGAACAATAGAAATAACTCGTCTCCGTGTGCAGCCCCTTGTACATAAATAAATATCCATTTAGCTTCCACAGTTCAAAAATTAATTGACAGTGAGTTTTAAAATATATTTTTTACCGTAGGAAGGTGGTTGTACTCCCAAAATGTTCTCATTAATCCAAGTTTTCACAAAGTAACGAGCAATCTGTATTTCTGCAGGAATTATGGCGAGTTGAACAGCATCTACGACTTTGAAAACTGATCCCATTGTTTTATAATCAAAATAGTATAAATACACAGGAGATTGAGATGCCTGCAATTGCACGGTATTGTAAGTTGGCAGAAAGTACATTCTGTCTGAAAACATGTTTGTTAAATTTTGAAAATATCGTGGATCAGAGGGCAACCCGTCGTCACCAAAGTAAAATTTTCGAATTCTGTCGGCAACTGAAATGCTCTTTTCTAAGTTGTCATCGTCGTATCTCAAGAGTCTCGAGAGATGAGCCCTCCATCCGTCGATCGAATCCAATTTTGCAACTGTGGATCGGTCCTTGGTGTATCCTGATGTGAGGGCATAAATAAATTACACATTATGTATGTTTGTATGCAAATATTTAGCTATCATTGTCATTTACACTGCTGTAATGTAGTATTCATTGTAATGTAATGTAACGAGCGCAATGAAGTGAAATTATTGCGATCGATTTGTTCGTCTGCCTGCTTGTCAGCACAATAGCTTTCAAATAAGTCTAGGAGTTTGCTGACTGAGCTTGTAGATCGAAAGGTTAAGACGCGTGATGATGTCAAAGGTCAAAATTTGTAATTTTTTGTTTTGCCGTTTTAGACGTTTTTAGGATGGGGATTTCAGAAATCACGATGACCCCGTGATCGTTAAACGAGGTCAAAGGTAAAAAAAATTTGAAACGTCAAAAATGTCAAATTTTTCTCGAGTATTGTACCTCGAGTACGTAACTCAATGCCGTCCATTCCCACGAGTATATTGCTGGAGTTTATTTATGGTTGATTACCATTGGCAAAGATAATGCCATCAGCTGAATTAATTCCTGATATCCAAGGAACGTGATTAAAATTTCCTTCCTTCAACAAAGTTTCTGGTTCTTCAGTTAAAAACGCTTTTTCATCTTTCACTTGTTCAACGATTGGCCCGTACACGGAATAATCGCTACGAAGTGTATCCTAAAGACCAAAGATTTTTATCAAGTATGCACAAATCGGACAACATGTCTTCCATGCAAATGTGTGCATACTTGTACATCCCTGTGAGTTTCGACAATCTTTAATGCATCCACTTTTTTAAGACAATCTGCAATTTCCCTCGTTGTGGTTTCCTCTGTGCAACCAACTCTTTTAGCTAAACTTCGAGCTTGATCTTCCAAATTGACAGTGTTAGGATAGCGTCTTAACGAACTTCCGGTTTGAGATATTGCCCGATGAAACAAACCTTTCGACATGGGGGACAACATATGCAAATGAACTGAAGCCGCACCGCTAAGTGATGAATGTATCACGTCATGAACAAATTTACAATTAGTACATACATCGTTGTATTTTTTTAAAATAAAGAATTTATGGCCAATTACCTGCTCTCACCGAAAAGTACAACCAAATTCGGATTTCCTCCGAATTTTGCAATGTTCTCCTGAACCCATTGGAGAGATAAATTTTGATCCTTCAGCCCCATGTTTCCACGTATTACATCATCCCCTGTACTTAGAAACCCTATTGAAAAACAAGTCATTTTGATAATAAGTGAACAAACAATGATGAATTTGTGCTTTAAAATGCTTCGATGGAATTCGATGGTTATTATGTATTACCAAAGCTAGAGAGCCGATACCATACTACCACCAAAACCACGTTTTCATCCATAAAATATTTCCCATCATACATCCTTGGATTTCCGCTAAAAAATCCACCTTCATGGTTAAGCAAAATTGTAATATTAAAGAGTCTGTGCTTTTATGTATGTAGTTGTTTGTTAGTAAAAAAAAACACCTCCATGCAAAAAAACGAAAACAGGTAATGACGCTTGTTCCTCACGAGTGGAGTTTGAGTTAAGTATCTAAAATTAGAGCATTTCTAATTTTATGAGGTTAAATTATAAAGTTATTTCTTGCTCTGCAAACCAACATTTGGCGAGTAGACATTTAAATACAGACAATCCTCAACTCCTTTAATTCTTTTGAGAAACATGGCATCGTACTGCAGGCACTCTGGTTTACAACGAGTCGTGTCCATTACACCTGTCCATTTATCTGGTCGCTCAGGAGGCTAACGTTATGTGAACAAATTGACACCATCAGTGATTACCTTAACTTTCATACAGAACATGGTGCTTGGAGTGATCTAGTGACCTCGAATCTAAGGCTCCCGATCGGTGGCTGTGCATAACGAATCCCCAAAAATTGAGAGTATTGTTTTCCTTGCCGAGAAATTGCAGTGGAACCACGAATCATTCCATCAGATAGTTCAATCACTGGTGATGATACTAATAGGGTTGATGTGGACGCAATTAGATCAACCCACAATGCAATTAAGAGGACTGCATTTCGAATTAATTTTTTCATAATTTAAGAATGCAAAGTAGGAAGTGTAAGCTGTCAATATATAATAACTATAACTTTATTTATTTAAATGTGTCGAATGCACATGTACCCTAAAATACCAATGCTGACTAACTGTAGGACCGTCACCAATATTATCTTCTCCAAGGTTGGAAAACAACTGAAACAAGTTTAGGTAGCAAACTAACTGTCGTATTACCTAAATACATATGTACATTTAACAACCTAAAAGGGGTTTGTTTGTCATTTCAGGTATTAAAAGAAGCAAGTTGTATTTGCTGAGAACTGCATAGGTATGTACCTTCCATATACGTACACGTAAGCTCCATATACACATACATCCAATTTTATACCATTATGTAACTGCTTGCTTGTTAGTTTTTTTTTTAATAATTGGTTCCAATGGAAAATTTCATAGTTGGTAAAAACAATATGAATCGAGATAATCTTAATGTGTGCAATATCTTGCAATTATTTTTTTCCGTGTTTTTCGTTAAGCTGAACTTAATAATTATGGTTGGATTGGGAGGATCAGTGAGCGTGGGAATATTTTATCCTTGAAAAACCATATCCATAATATTTAGCATAGGAATTGGAGACCAATGCTCACAAACTAAATTCTCCTTCAAGTTAATCAAATTTACGATGAAAGAAGTTTTTGAATTTATTTCTTAAGCTTATTAGTCACATGAATTGGTTTTTCGTTAAATTAAAATGACTGCAAATAGAATGCGTGTCATATTAGCTTATTTATAAAAACCCAAATTCGTCCTCAAGGGGTGTAACAGAATGCGGTCCAAAGAGCACACCTTGCAAAATGACCCCAAAGTTTGCAGGCCATTCTCTCCAAAAATAAGGAAACGCAATTTCTCCTATGTATTCGTCCATGTTGGGGAAATCTTGAGCCTAGCAATTTGCAAACCAAAATTATGCAATTCAAATTCTATTCAATAGACGTTTGGCAAAGACGAACCATTTCGATAACTTCTCCACATCCAACAGATGCTGCCAGCAAAGCATACGTTGCCCAACAGCCCAAATCAGCATGGTGCAAAATTCCGGACCTGAGAAGCCGAATTATTACTCTTATTCCATGACCGCTGGCCAACTATAAAGATTAATATTACACATGTTAAATTCCACTTATTATTTATCAGTTGTGACATCGTCTCATGAACGCACTGCTCTTTTTAGCGTAGTTGATGACCAAACCATTTCTGCCACGCTTTGAAGTATTCTCATGTGAAACATAATGGGAACATTTCGACGATTCAATAACCAGATTAAAATAAGCACTGATCCCTCCGCAAGATTTTGGGCTTTCGGAGTTCCATAATAACAACTGCGGCACAAACTGGATGCTGTTATTCGAACCCTTTCCAGTAGTTGACGATTGATATCCCCACTAAAAACATGATAATGTCAAATTAATAATATTTGTAATGCAATAAAGCAAGTTCCATATGTGTGAATGCAACAATGCTAACAAATGTACGTGAAAGGCAGCAATCGGCATGCTTCCAACAGAATATGTCTATATTTCCGAACGTCCTCGTTGTATCTGTCCAGTGCAGTTACATCCAAATTTACCTCGAGATGTTGTGGATCAATTGCTTCATCGTCGGGAAAATCATACTCATCCTGAAATCCATGTTTTTCACAATAACCTCGTTTTAAGTTCAACTTTGAGTAAATCGATAGCTTACCAGGTTCAATAGCATGGAAAACTCTGACACTTGTGGGGCTGCACGAGCTGGTTTCCAATGAACATTAAGCATGTACAAATTGGCGTTTATCTTTATGATTAATAGCAATTTAAAAGAATATTAAAAATTACTCTCCGCCACGCTGAATGCTTGAAATGGCTCATCGAGAAGTTCCTGGAATTTTGAGGATGTTTTTGATGATCCCACGGACGATTCAACCTTTAACCTGGAAGCGGCTGCTTTAGCTGTTGCGATCAACACAGCTCGTGGAACCCCACGACCACTGTCGATAGCTGAAACACAATTATGCACAGTGTTCACATGAGAATCCCGGGTGGATGATTAAAGGTACAATTTAAAAATCAAATATGTGCATATGCACAGAGCTCACCAATTTTTTCAACATCCTGCTTCACAATCACCTTTTTAGACATTCTTGTTGTAGAATTTGAAGATTAAAAGTGTGAAAAGTGCCAAAGTGTGAAAATATGCAATCGGCTTGAACATTTTAAAATGATATTTTGAATAAAGCCTCATTTTATTTTACTTGATGTTTATTTATTTTAACTTGACAACAATTAAACACAGGGTTGTTAAAGATCAAAATTATTTGACACTTTATCAGTCTATAAGGTTACGACAAATGGCCGAGTTACAAAATAAATTTTCATTTTTATTAGCCCGAGGAAGGGCTTATGGAACCGTCATGTCCGTCCGTCCGTCTGTCTTTCTATAACTCTCTAACGAGCTGACCGATTGACTTGAAATTTTTACCATGTATGTACATATTGGACAAGTTAGAAAACGAGTTCGAAGATGGGCGAAATCGGTCAAGTGGTTGACCGGTGGGGGTCATGTGAGTAGGTGGGATAAAATTTTGAAATTCAAAATTGTCGTAGAAAGCTGAAATTTAGTACAGAGGTAGCTAATGACTTCTAATAGAAAAAAATGAATTTAAGTTGGGAGATTTTTCATCTTGAGGGACCTTATGGGGTGACCCATACTGGTTTTTCAAAATGGTCATATCGAGCTGAAATTTGGTAGAGAGGTTGCTTATGGGGCCTAATGGAAGAATATGAAATGACATTGACAGAATTTTTATTTTGAGGGACCCTATGGGGTCACCCATACCTATTAGAAATTGCTTTAAAAACATGAAATCCGGCACGGTGATACTTAATGGCTTCTCATTAAAGAATATGAAGTTAAAATGCCAAATAGTAGAAAATATCTAACAAACGTTTAGCCATCCACACCACGGAGGTTGGTAATATTATTATGCCGGTGAATTTCGATTTGTCGAACGAAGTTGAAATTTTGACAACGGGTGAGACCGTAGGGCCTAATCCATACAGATTTTTCAAAAATATGCCACTCCACCAGTCAATACTTGTTTTGATCGACCACCGCAACGCCTGACTCGGGCTAAATAAAGGCTGCACATTGGAAATTTCAAGTTTACTATTAGACATAATACCCTCGAGATTTTTAGCTTAAAAAATCAATCTAAAAATTACGATGATTTTATCTTTCAGAATGAAGTCTCTATGTCTGCGCATTCAAAAGTTATTAAAGGTCAAACTAGTTGGTGTCTCTACAAGGGACTTCAGACACCAATGATTTTAAAAATAATAATTATTTTTAAAATCATTGGTGTCTGAAGTCCCCCGTGGTTCCATAAAAATCCCTCTGTTCCTGCCGCACTATGACAACCTCCGGATTTATGAAATAACTCTCATTTTGTGGAATTATATAATCTCCATGGAAATTCTCGCAAATGTCCGGGTTTTTTGTATAGACTTCGCATTGCCCGAGCCGGTCCATAAAATAATTATTATTTTATTTGTAACTCGACCATTTGTCGCAACCGTTAAGGGAGACGCGTTACCTAGATACTTAAGGTCAAGCAATCGTGGTTAAAGATACAGTAATTTGATAAGACTTATCAAATTACTGTATCTTTAACAACCCTGAATTAAACAGCTTTGGATTCAAAATTTGGACTGGGATCCTAAAGGATTCTTCAATCACTAGCGGCTACGCCGGTGTTTCTGGGTTCGGCCGTAACTCATAAAAATTAAAAAAAATTATTTTTTCAAAAGCTGGATATTATAATATCCAGCCTTGTGTATCCATGTGTCTGTCTGTTCATAAATTCCACAAATTCATACTTTTACGTAAACTGCCTGTGCATTACAACTTTACAAGCGTAGAAATTAAATAGTAAATTAAAATGCACAAAAAATAAAGTAAAAATAAAAACCTACAGTGCAGGTAGACTCCATATAGCCGAGTCGGGGGCAGAGTCTCGGTGAGCGGTGTGTTCTCGGTGAGTCAGAGTTCTAAATTTTTCTCCGAATTGACCAACATAATATTACCAAACTCCTTGTTGTGGATAGTTAAATGTTTGTTAGATTTTCTATTATGTATTTCATATTTCGCATCAAAACCTTTAACATCTTGAACTTCCAAAGCTGGGTGTGCTATCGAGAAGTGATTTTTATCCCCCATACTTCAGGTGAAATAACAACTTTTAAAAACGATATTGGTCAGCCTCTAGGGCAGGGTTACTCTGGTTGCACTTTGCTCACTTTTAACCATCTTTTAACTTCATATTCTTTCATAAGAAGCCATTAAGTATCACCGTGCCTGATTTCATTTTTTTAAAGCAATTTCTAAAAATCGGGACCCGTCACCCAATAGAGTCGCTCCAGATAATAAACAAGGTCCCAAAAAAGGGGAAATCTTAGTTAGGTAGTGCAATCATAACTAATAAATAAAATTAGATTGAAAAATTGTTGCATCACCGCTCTCGGTACCATTTTTGACTGGAAGCATTAATCGTGTAAATAGAACACTTGCCCCCTCAAAAGATCTGATGATTTTGTCTGAATAGAATCTCCAAATTAATACGTTAAATTGAAATTATAGATTCGTATGTTTTTCAAACAAATAAGAAGTTCACAATTCTTTAGCCATTATATTTCACATCCTATCTCAGTTCATTTAACCCACTTCTCGTTCACTACACAGTAAAAATGCTTTCCGTTCTCAATTTATTCAATAAAATTAAGAATTCATGCGTATACAAAGTAAAATTATACTGCATCCAGTAAAAATGGTACCGAGAGCGGTGATGCAAAAATTATGCAATCTAATTTTATTTATTAATTATGATTGCACTACCTCACTAAGATTTCCCCTTTTTTGGGACCTTGTTTATTTATAACTTGTAATTGGGATGTCAATGTGATGATTGCACCACCCTATTTCAATATTTGCATCCTGAATAATTTTATTAAGCGCTTGGTTTTCAAAATTGAATTATAACCGATTCACGTTATTTTGTTCTTAAAATATCTGGTATAAATTACTAAATACCAAAAGACCTGACTGGAGGTGCAACACCAACAATAACAATTTCATGCATTTTTACCAAGAGTATTACTTACAGAAGCAAAGATTAGTTTTTCTGTTTAAAATTTTGAATATTTATTTTGTGTTATATTTATTAGTCGTTGTCAATGACGATGATTCGTAGCACGTCTATGAATTTTATGGTCTTCAAAATGGAATAACTTGGTCAATTCTTAACGGATTTTGATAAATTTATACTCAAAATTTGCGGGGCCGTAATTCTTATGGCCCATGGTAATTCTTATGGCCCATGGTAATTCTTATGGCCCATGGTAATTCTTATGGCCCATGGTAATTCTTATGGCCCATGGTAATTCTTATGGCCCATGGTAATTCTTATGGCCCATGGTAATTCTTATGGCCCATGGTAATTCTTATGGCCCATGGTAATTCTTATGGTCCATGGTAATTCTTATGGCCCATGGTAATTCTTATGGCCCATGGTAATTCTTATGGCCCATGGTAATTCTTATGGCCCATGCTAATCTTATGGCCCATGCTAATCCTATGGCCCATGCTAATCTTATGGCCCATGCTAATCCTATGGCCCATGCTAATCTTATGGCCCATGCTAATCTTATGGCCCATGCTAATCTTATGGCCCATGCTAATCTTATGGCCCATGGTAATTCTTATGGCCCATGGTAATTCTTATGGCCCATGGTAATTCTTATGGCCCATGGTAATTCTTATGGCCCATGGTAATTCTTATGGCCCATGGTAATTCTTATGGCCCATGCTAATCTTATGGCCCATGCTAATCTTATGGCCCATGCTAATCTTATGGCCCATGGTAATTCTTATGGCCCATGGTAATTCTTATGGCCCATGGTAATTCTTATGGCCCATGGTAATTCTTATGGCCCATGGTAATTCTTATGGCCCATGGTAATTCTTATGGCCCATGGTAATTCTTATGGTCCATGGTAATTCTTATGGCCCATGGTAATTCTTATGGCCCATGGTAATTCTTATGGCCCATGGTAATTCTTATGGCCCATGCTAATCTTATGGCCCATGCTAATCCTATGGCCCATGCTAATCTTATGGCCCATGCTAATCTATGGCCCATGCTAATCTTATGGCCCATGCTAATCCTATGGCCCATGCTAATCTTATGGCCCATGCTAATCCTATGGCCCATGCTAATCTTATGGCCCATGCTAATCTTATGGCCCATGCTAATCTTATGGCCCATGCTAATCCTATGGCCCATGCTAATCTTATGGCCCATGCTAATCTTATGGCCCATGCTAATCTTATGGCCCATGCTAATCTTATGGCCCATGCTAATCTTATTCTAAGGCGAGACCCAAACGTAACCATGCACCCAAAAAAATACGTGCATGGTTACGGCGAAGCCATAGTATGCAGTTAAGTGGACACCTCAAAACAGTCAAACAAGATTGTGAGAGAACCATACGTCGTAGAGACATGCGGTTTCGACCAATGGGTAGTAAATTCTTTGTAGTATTGCGCATAGGTCTTTGGGCTTAATCGGTTCACACCTTCATGGTGTATTTCTCGTTTTAGTGACTTTTTTTTCTTTATCTCAAAATATTCCGCTGAAAGTGAAAAATCGGCAAATGAAAATCGAAAGAGCTTAAAAATTATTAAGATCATTCTTTAGAGTCATGAAAATCGGATGAAAAATGACGAAGCTATGGAGGTTTGAAATTTTTTATATTCAGTTACATCCATAGCAACTTTAGTAAAGAAATTCTTTATATGTGTAAATGATGGCCCGAGACAGGGCTTATATAATCGTTACGTCCGTCTGTCTTTCGATAACTTTCTCAAGCGTTGACCGAAATTTGGTACAAATATGTGTCTAGAGAATGCAACGACCAAGTTCAAATATTGGTATAAACAAGATTTGAACTGGTGGGGGTGACGTACATACTTATTATACATCAAAATTTAAAAACTCTGTTAGAAAGCAGAAATTTGACATGGAGCTTGATAATGGGTTCCAAGGAAAGAATATGAAATGAAATTGTAAGATTTTTCAACGGGAGGGGTGGTATGTGGGGTCACCCATACCGATTTGCTACATATGCTGCCAATCGCTACTAATGTAAGAATGTTAATTTAAATTAGGACCATTAGTTTTTATTTTAAAAATGTTGAAATGCATTTATGATAAAATTTCCTTCAAAAATTCGATTGGGTAATAATTACTTCCTTTTCCTAACTCGGGCTATATCAAGTATAATCTTTTAATGTCGGAGTTAAAACATTGTTCACTTAAAAACCCTAAAATAAATAAATTTAAAAAAATAAAACTAAGGCGAGAGGCGCTATTACAAACACGAAACAAGCCCTCCCACCAACACCCCCGTCTCGCCGTAGCCCCATTAATATTTTTATATCTGGGGGTGTAACCGCAATTTATGATTTAAACTTTTAACTACTACTGTAAACTGCATTTAAATTGATAAATATTACAATTTTATATTGCATTGCACTTTGAAAACCTAATATCTGCAGTTCTTACATTAATTTCAATTTAAATACCTATATAATATGTAGTCTAGCATTAATCAACAGAGTCCGGATATATTCTTAAAAACCCCTAAATATTTGTGTAAAATGTTTAATCATATCGACAAAATAT